TCCACATCAATCACGTCATTTCAACAGCTCGTAGATCTTTAGGTTATATCCGAAGAACCCTGAAGCTTGCTCCCAGCCACTTAAAAAAATTAGCTTTCACCACAATAATACGCCCCAAACTGGAGTACGCCGCAGCAATTTGGGACCCACACCAGCATTATCTCATCCAAAACCTAGAAGCCATCCAAAACCGTGCTGCCAGATTCGCCTTTTCTGATTACTCATCGTTCACCAGTGTAACAGACTTAAAGAAACGTGCCGCATTCATTCCCCTTAGTCAACGCCGAAAAACTGCGCGGCTCGCATTATTCCACAAATTCTATCAAGCATACCCATCCAGCATTTACGTCACCAAACGCCCCCATTTCTCTGATCGTTGTTGCAACACTATGCAAGTACATTACCCTCGTCCCAAAACTACCACATTTGCAGAATCTTTCTTCATACGGACAGCTAAGGAATGGAACGCCCTACCGGATACCATTGTTAGCATTCAGGATGCAGAAGCCTTTAAAAATTCCCTGACAACCATCACTGAACTGTAATAGCTAACTGAACTGTGACCTGCCATGCTATTTCTTGTATAATTGTTTCTAGTGTCATCTCCCTAGTATGGCATGTATGTATATTTTGTGTACTTGGCAATGTTTCGAAACCTTTTTAGTGGTACCTTTTGTCACTGAAAAATGTTTTCATCCAGAGTCCTCAAACAAATGTACCTGTTACCGCCCCCCCCCCTCTTCTTGTATGCCCACCCCTCATGTAATGTCCCTTCTGTTAGGGACCCTTGAGGAAAATAAAATAAATAAATAAATAAATAAATAGATAGATAGATAGATAGATAGATAGATAGATAGATAGATAGATAGATAGATAGATAGATAGATAGATAGATAGATAGATAGATAGATAGATAGATAGATAGATAGATAGATAGATAGATAGATAGATAGATACGCTCAAGGTCGCCGAAGTTCGCTAAGAAATGCTTCGTATTTAAAAACTTGCTCAAAAAGTGCACTCACAAACATAAAATAAATACTTTTCTAAAGCACTTGCTTGTACAAACAACGATAAATATATATATATATATATATATATATATATATATATATATATATATATATATATATATATATATATATAGTCTGTCGCCTTTTTTTTAGTGCATAAGCTTCTGATCAAGGCTATTCGTCGTCACACGTCGTTTGCAACCTTCGAGCAGTGATTGAACTATACGTTCTTTTTTTCACGATTCAACGCATTTCGGGTCTTGAACATAACAATCTTCCTTTTTGTTGTCGAGGGCGTGGCGTGAGGAAAAAATGTCACAGCTTTGCCGCAAAAGCGAAACAATCAACGTGATAGCAACAAATTAGAAGTTCATGCGCAGAATGAAAAGTTTATCGAAATGTTCCGCGCGTTCCTCACGCACAGATAACGCACGAAATATACTCACAGGGACATTTGCAAGCGATTAAGCGTCTCAGTTGTTACTTCGCTATGTCTGGAAAGTGCGCGCTTTTCGCAAACAGAGACTGTAATGATTGCAGTGACCTCAACATTTGTGCACGTGGTAACTACAACAAAATTATTCCAGGTAAAGCCCGAGGCCAGCCAAGACATACGATCTTCCCCTTCTCCTCACCGCAAGCTAAGGGCGCGCGAGGGAGCGTCGCTCCCCTCGTACAAAGCGGGGCAAAATTAGGCGTGACACATGAAAGCGCACGCCACCGCGCGATGTGGCGACGCGCTCTTATGCGCCATCTTGCTGGTAATGTTGAAAATACGATAGTTCTCCCAAAATGCCCGTAAGCAGCGCGCGCGTGTGTGTGTGTGTGTGTGTGTGTGTGTGTGTGTGTGTGTGTGTGTGTGTGTGTGTGTGTGTGTGTGTGTGTGTGTGTGTGTGTGTGTGTGTGTGTGTGCGTGCGTGTGCGTGTGTGTGTGTGTGTGCGCGTGCGCGTGCGTGTGCGTGTGCGTGCGCGTGCGTGTGCGTGTGCGTGTGCGTGTGTGTGTGTGTGTGTGTGTGTGTGTGTGTGTGTGTGTGTGTGTGTGTGTGTGTGTGTGTGTGTGTGTGTGTGTGTGTGTGTGTGTGTACGGTGAGTGACGCCGACATCAACGCCAACGCAGGCGGCAAAATCCAGCCGAGAGTATCCACCATATAATTCCTCTCGCAATAATAGAGACACTGGGTGGCCACTTCTGAAGGGCTGGAACGTGGTATCATATCTCCTTTCGAGGTTGAGCTCGTAAGATCCATTTCCGGGAGTGGCCACTAGGTGGCGAGCGCCCAGTAGGACACGCCAATACAAGGGTGTTGTCAGAAAACGCCAATGATATTTGCAGTGACTGCTATGAGCATTTATACCAAGACATATGTTTTGACATATATGACTCCGCAACATGTAGAAAAAATTGCGCTAGTAGTTTATGATAGGCACATCACAGCACTATAACGTGCACTTCAAGGTAATGAAACAGACGTGCCAGCTATACCTTGAGTCCTGACAGTTCGTCAAGACCACGAACTGCTCTTTACACGCCAGTGTATTCGGCCTGCAGGGTAAGTCTAACTGGTACACGCTTGAACTGGTACGTGCATATCTACTCAATTTACGCAAAGACTTCGAAGTAAATTCTAATGTTCAGATCAAAGAAAAAATCGAGTAAAAGGTGGTACTGTCTGACTTCTTCACAAAAAATCAGTTCCCACATTTCACCGGATCTGTCGGATTTCGATATTTTCGAATTCACTATGTGTCTGCTCATTATAAATCTCATGGAGTCTGTTTCGCGTACAAAGGGTCAATATTCAGGAACAAATTCACACCATCTTCACAATGGAAACCCTGATGGGATGCGAAGCAGCAGCGTTGCGCACGGGTGGCGTGACAGGTTGAACGGCGCTAACGCGGGTGATGCGGTGAGCGCTGGAAGATTAATTTGAAGCGACGGCTTCCGTAGGTCTTGTGACACGTACGGACATGTTTCAACGCATACGTTAGGCGTGCGTCAGGTTTGTTGCACGTGAACGGATGAGTCTGCGTTGTAGCAAGCGGTGGTCGTGATAGTAGAGCGAGTGGCGGTAGCGGCAACTGTTGTGGGAGCACGAACGAGGCGCCAGCTGAGCTGCGGGTGCTGCGGCGAGCACGTGACAGGCGAGGGTGAGAGTGACGTCAACGTGCACTGCAAGGGGTGCGTGACGTCCACGCGCTACTGTGGCGAGACCTACTGGGCACAACTGCAACACCAGCGGTGAGAGGAACGCGTTGCGGCGCGTTCGTACAGAACCACGTACGTCCGGCGTTACACACGTGAATCAGAAAGCTGCTTCGGGTCTGAAAAACTATTATTGAATTGGATGAATGGTGACATGATCATGGATGGTTCCAGAAATTGTGGCCACCTACCTTCTTCAGCGTGAATTTAATTTGAGGATGGAGCTCAGGCCTTTAGCCTCCATATAAATGGAACTGCCCCAGCCAGAATTCGTAATCGCGATGTAGAGGTCAACATTCAAGCATCTTTAGCACTTATACCCAGCAACATCTTTTTGTCCAAGTAGAAGAAGAAGACACGTCAAAGACGGCCAGTAACATTTTATTTCACGACAATGACAGTAATAGACAGAAAATGTGACAACTATTGCAATAAAGTAGTAAGAACTCACGAAAACTTCTTTATGTTTCGCTAAGGCAGTCCGAGAGAGTTTGTTTCATCGTTTACTCTCGAACACATTTTTTTTTTTCAATGTATTCAATCGGACACAGCATACCAAGTTTGCTGAGCATTCAAAACGGCGTGGTTGCTCGGTGCTTACTTCTCACTTAAACCTATATGACACACAGAAAGAAATGCTCCCTCACTATTAAATATTATTCTCGTCTAAATATTATAATTTTTAAAGCCCAAATTTTCCTGTACATGCTCTCGTTCGTAAAAAAAACATGAGGTGAAGAAGCATGAGAGCAATATGAGGTGACATAAGAGGGCCAGACCTCCAGCAATGTTTCATGCATTATATTGTAAGGATCATATTAGTCGACGCTCCAATAGTTTGCTGAATAGTTAGAGGGAAGAAATATTTAAAAGAGTGCACAGCTGCAGGTATTAGCTCCTTATCTGCCGCGGCATTGACACCCTTGTGATCAGAAAAACTCAGAAGTAAGGGCAATGCTCTTCTGGAAGGTTTTTTTTTTTGTTTCTCTGTTTACCAACGTTGTTATTTTAACTGCACAGAGTGAAACTATACCATCAGACAATGGAAAGCACAACCGAAACCAAAGAGCGAAGTAAAGTGTTGTGAGCATTGAGATATCTTAAGGTGACACCGTATACCATTCTTCGAAAAGTGTTGAATCTTGGTTTCTGAAGCACTTCTTGGTCCCATTATAATAATACAATGATGCACACACATTTCAGAGAAACCTATAAATTAATCATTTGAGGCTCTTTATCTCATTGCAACTGATCACAGTCTCCAGAGAGTATTTCTGTGATCACGAGTCAACGTCCGCTCACAACACAAGAAAGGCTGTGTGTCAGCAGTTACGCTCCGTGATATCACCTTCTTGTTTGTTTTTCCAAACAGCAATGACAGTCTGAGAAGGTCTAAAGTAACACGACATCTTCAGATCACATTCTGCAAAAAAAAGTAAATGCACTGAATACCTTTTAATCTTCTTTTTTTTCAGTGCCAGAAAACTATCATTTTCGTCTAGTCAACGCACACATTTTTCCTCTCCCGTTCAACTCGGTTTTTTTCTGTACAGTTCGACTGACTCAGCCATGATATAACGCACAGTATGCATTCGCATCGTCCATTAATTGGTAAAAGATGACCCACTCTTCTGGACGTAGGGTGTTCCAGAAGCCTCACCATGTGCGATCGACACTGGTATTTTTAGCGACAAAAGCTTGAAGTGTTTCGACAATACAGAGATGGCTGCGTCAACAATCATGTCCAAAGGCTGTACACTGAGCCGGTTCAGTGAGCCGTGCACAGTGCCGCTTTTTCGGCACTCAAGATGCAGTATAGGTGCGGCACAGGGGTAATGACGGTGAAATTCATCGAAGCGAGGCGTTTGCATCGTAGACGGGCGGATCAATGTACACGTTGTTTTCGAATGAGAACAGCCCTCCATTCCGTCGCCTGAACTGGGAGAGGCGCACCACCTGCTGAATGGCAAACGCCGCCGCGACGAGCACGAGCAGCGAACCCAGTGCAACGGCCACGTACACTCCCGCGCTGGTCTTCGTGCCTTTGTGGGAAGGAAACGCACAAGTATGTACGAGAAATGGCGAGAAATTTTCAATGAAAGGACTGGCACGCAAAATGAAGCATCAGCAAACATATTTACGCATCTGAATATTTACATTTCGCCAATATAGCATCTTCCTGAAATCTACTCCGCACAAGTTTGTTTTCTCAATCGCATGGGTTATCGTTCATGTTAATAAAGAACCCAATTTACTTCTCATGAGTGGACAAGCCAGAAATTTCCACTGACGTCAATATAACCAATACTAGTGGCAATCACATCCGTGGGGCAGATGGTGCTTAACTTTTCTTAACATTGTGACTGTAAGTTTTCACTTATAAAAACATTGAATTCTTTACATTAAACGTTAAAGCATTGGCTCTACATTGATTGCACTAACAGGTGTAGGAAAAGCAACAGTACCTTGCACCAGCGCCACGAACAGCTACTTGAAGCAACTTCAGTTCAACTCGTCTTCGACAGATCGTTTAACGCTAAATTGTCCACGTTTTCTACGCCCGTGCTGTATGCAAGTGTGTGAGAATGCCGGTGAAATGTTGGATAAAACAGATATGGTTTCACAAATTTAGGACTGCAATTTTCTTTTAGGTTTTAAACGAAAAGAAAGGGTATAAATTAGACCAAATCATTTCTGTTTTCTTATATCACAGAAAGCACGAACGTCTTATGAAAGGGTCATTTGTGCGGTAGGCCATGCAGTGTAAACCTAAAAGCAGAGACCAATAATGTCTGTATCACTTTTTTTCCATTTCATTCTACCTTTCCATTTTAGAGTAAATGATGATGATGATTAATAGACGTAAAGTATGCGATGTAAGAAGGTATAACATGGAGAGAATTGAACACGCTCTGAAAAACGGAGGAAGTGTCAAAGCATTGAAGAGAAAACTTGGGATAGGCAAAAGTCGGATGTATGCACTAAGGGACAAAGAAGGCAAAATAACTACCAAAATGGATAGGATAGTTGAAATAGCGGAGGAGTTTTACATAGATCTGTACAGTAGCCGAGACAACCACGACCTTAATACTATAAAAACTAGCAGTAACCCAGATTACACCCCACCAGTAATGATAGAAGAAGTCAGAAAAGCTTTGGAGAGCATGCAAAGAGGCAAAGCTGCTGGTGAGGATCAGGTAACATCAGATCTGCTGAAAGATGGAGGACAGATTGTGTTAGAAAAACTAGCCACCCTGTTTACGAGGTGTCTCCTGACGGGAGGAGTACCAGAGTCTTGGAAGAACGCTAATATCATCTTAATACATAAGAAAGGAGATGGCAAGGACTTGAATATTTACAGGCCGATCAGCTTGTTCTCTGTAGTATACAAGCTATTTACAAAGGTAATTGCTAACAGAGTAAAGAAAACATTAGAATTCAATAAACCAAAGGAACAAGCAGGATTTCGAACAGGCTACTCAACAATTGACCACATTCATACTATCAATCAGGTAATAGAGAAATGCTCAGAGTATAACCAACCACTATACATAGCCTTCATAGATTACGAGAAGGCGTTTGATTCAGTAGAAGTATCAGCCGTCATGCAGACACTGCGGAATCGGGGCGTCGAAGAAGTATATATAAACATCCTGGAAGAAATCTACAGGGGATCAACTGCTACCATAGTGCTTCATAAAGAAAGCAACAGAATACCAATCAAGAAGGGTGTTAGGCAGGGGGACACAATCTCCCCAATGCTATTTACCGCATGCTTACAGGAGGTTTTCAGAAGCCTAGAATGGGAACAGTTAGGGATAAGAGTCAATGGAAAATACCTTAGTAACCTGCGCTTCGCCGATGACATTGCATTGCTGATTAACTCAGGGGACGAATTGCAACTCATGATTACGGAGTTAGACAAGGAGAGCAGAAAGGTGGGTCTTAAAATTAATCTGCAGAAAACGAAAGTAATGTACAGCAACCTCGGCAAGGAGCAGCGCTTCGAGATAGGTAATAGTGCACTTGAAGTTGTAAAATACTATGTCTACTTAGGGCAGGTAATAACCGCGGAGCCGAACCACGAGATTGAAGTAACTAGAAGAATAAGAATGGGGTGGAGCACATTCGGCAAGCACTCTCAAATTAAGGCAGGTAGATTGCCACTATCCCTCAAGAGGAAGGTATATAACAGCTGTATCTTGCCGGTACTTAGCTACGGAGCAGAAACCTGGAGACTTACAAAGAGGGTTCAGCTTAAATTGAGGACGACGCAGCGAGCAATGGAAAGAAAAATGGTAGGTGTAACCTTAAGAGACAAGAAGAGAGCAGAATGGATTAGGGAACAAACGGGGGTTAAGGATATCATAGCTGAAATCAAGAAGAAGAAATGGACATGGGCAGGGCATGTAGCGCGTAGACAGGATAACCGCTGGTCATTAAGTGTAAATGACTGGATTCCCAGAGAAGGGAAGCGGGTTAGGGGGAGACAGAAGATTATGTGGGCAGATGAGATTAAGAAGTTTGCGGGTATAAATTGGCAGCAGCAAGCACAGGACCGGGTTAACTGGCGGAACATGGGAGAGGCCTTTGTCCTGCAGTGGACGTAGTCAGGCTGATGATGATGATGATGATGATGATGATGATGATAGTTATGTCTTATATGCGTTATAAAACCCAGCAGGATGGGCGCAAGGGATTCGTTTGTTTGCCCAATCGATTTTGTTACATTTGCGGATGTCGCACAATCTACCCGAAGTTTTCAGCGCTGTTTATTTCAGCTCTCTTTGTTGACGTTTTTATGCTTAATTAGTACTAAAATCACTTTGTCACTTGCCCATTTTGTACACATTATTTTAGCTGTCACGTAACTCTATAGAATAGCGGCGGGAGGCTTTGCTTGCGCACACACTGCCGTTAAGGAGTGAAGGCGGTACAAGGGGAATCAATTTTGCGATTCTCGCTATACCCGACGCATGTGCCGCCCATCCAAAATTCCTTCTTTACTGCTTTCATTTACGAGATGCGCCATTTGATTAACTGTGGCATGGCGGAGAAACAGCGATCCCGCACGGGAGTGAATAACTAGATCTGTCGATAAAAATGGCAAGAAGGGAAAGATGGAAGCTTTCGTTCAGTAATTAAAAATTAGGATCCACCCCCCCCCCCTTTTCAAATTTCTCCTGGATGGCTTTCTGCGAATGAAATATAAAGTGATGTCTCGAGGCTCTGGTATCTGTAACTTGGTTCCACCAGCACAAAAAATATGTCAGCAAGCGCGGAGCGTAAATACACAGCAAACTATAGCCACACTGCGTACTTCGCAAACATGCATTGGGTAACTTGCTTTTCTTGGCGTACTGTACGAATCTCTAAAGCATAGTCGGGCTGTAAAACGGACAATCTTTGTTCCTGGTAAGTAGTTGGTAATAACCATCTACCTGGACTATTGGCTAAGTTTACGACATAGCAAGTCACAGCGACATCACAAAGAACCGCTAACAACCCTACGCGGCTTCAATCATGGATCGGGTGTTAATTGAGTGGGGCACGCAAATCGATTTCGTTCGCTCCCGCACCCCGGCGCCACCGGCAAATTATCCGTTTCCTCTAACGATACGGAGGGTACAGCATAGCAGTTCTGAGCTAACCCCCCCCCCCCCCTGCCACCATTTTTCCAGTCACTGTCAACTGGTCCAATTCCAGATGACTGGCAACTAAATATTACCCCGGTTTATATCAGGTGAGCGTGTTTTCCACTTACATGCCATCCCGTCCTCTTAACCAACACTCTTTTTAAATATTTCCAATATATAATACACATGCAGGCCATTAACTTTCTTCAAATGAAGCCCGAAACAGTAAATGCGAGCATCAACCTGGTTTTTGCAAGGGCTCCTCATGCGCCACCTGACTTGCATTATAAGACATATACACGCTGTTACACACGCTGATAACTGAGTGTAACGGCTTGCTTTCATACATTCCCACAGAAGACGGTGTAGCCAAGTTCCAAGATCTCATTAACCTAACACTGACCACTTCATCAAAATAATATTTTTTCAGACATTGCATTTGTTCTAGCAATTATCGACGTTGATATGCTGTTATAGCATGATCTGTATTTCTAGTATATTTAGTTCCTGTCTTGTTGTTGCTGTCGTTTTTGCAGTATTTGTAAATTCAATTTGCAGATTGCCTGTTCCACTGTCTTTTTTATCAACATATATGATGTGTAATAAATATGCAATGTTGATATGCCGCTCATCTATGTAATACCATTCTACTGAGGCGGTTTGGGCGTAGTTTGAAGAAAAACAAACCAACAATAAGGTGGGCAAAATATAACCTGTTATGGTGAACGTAAAATTATAGCAATAAATACTTGAATATGAAGACTTACCGTAGCGACTTCCCGGTGCACCTAGGAATAAATTTAGATAAAACAAAATTATTATCGGCACAAAGCTTGAACCAAACGACAAGTAATTTCCCGAACTCTACATGATATGTCAGCTGAAGGAATACAAGTTTAAGACAAGCTTTTCTTCATTAGTTGAATGCATACCTACTAACATTGTTGGAATCTCACTATGTGAAGCAATGTTAAGGACTCAAATTTTAAAGAAATAATAAAGAGAAACGTGATTCATTCTTGCTAAATGGATCTTGAGCAATCTACTGCTCATGTACATTACAGTCAAACCGGTCCGATGTTTCTCCCCACTGATGCAGTTCAGTGCTTCATAAGAACCTCACAAAGAACGTAAAAGTAGCACTTCTTATTATAACTTCGTCTTCACCAACAGAGCAGACGGCGTTCTTCATCATCGCCAGTGCTACTCAGGAGCTGCCGCTCGCTGGAGGACACGAACCCATCTGTTTCTTTTTTTTTTCACTTGTTCCAATGAAGAACGTTTCTTTCAGACGTCCCGCTTCTCGTTCCTGAACGACAGCCTATAGTAGCCGGCTGACCTCGAGGTCCACCACACTTCTTATATAACTTGAAAATACACAGGTTATGCACCAAAACAACGATACACTTTTTTGAAGGTTCGCAAGTGCATTTAGACTCTTCCTTTACTCAAAAAAAGAAGCTTTGGAAAAATAATAATTCTGAAGAATGTGGTTGTCGTAATCGAACGTAATAGGCTAACACGCCGTGCGTGTGATCTCTGAAAGTTTATTGTCTACAGTGTATTTCGCGACTTCTCTGTGCTGGATTATCTTTACCCAGTGGCGGTAATCAGTGCCGAACGTGAAACCTGCAATTTGCGGCAAAGGAAATGAATGAACCATAATCTTATGCTACATATAATCACTATATCTTTCTTGCACTTTTAACAGATTTCGATGCGAGATTTTATTGTCTCGCAAAACTAAGTGCGCAAAATATCCAGGTAATTTTGGTGGCTCAGACTTAGGATTCTGCCGTGAGTAATTTTCAAGAAAACTCTATTAGTGTACCTCACAACGCTCCTGTGCACTTATTGGATGACAGAAGAATGATGGGGTAGATAGTCATATCTATTTGATGAAAACACTTGACTTGCTGTTGCTTGAATTTGGTTTGAGTGTTAGTGAGTTCATTTTGTGATTCAAAAAGGAGCTATCAAGTGGATCACTAATAGGAATTTCAATAAAGCGTAGCACACTGACGTAGTGCGCTTAAAGAATAAAAAGCATCAATTTAGGATGAAATAGTTTCCGTACTTTGTTTCCTATAGCGTGCAATATGTGCCGTGTTGGCGTAACATTCACTTTAAAGTAAGTCAGAGACAGCACTTCCTTTGCTAGGCACACTCGTCGCGACATGATGCACTGTTTTTAAGTAATTCCGCCTAACATTTCTTACATAAAGATTTGATGTCACCTATTTTGTGGCGTATCGTTAGTACTGAACATCACGTTAAAACTTGTATAGAAGATGCGAATGCAACTTCCACTGCGTAGTGATTGCCCAAATGGCCTGAAACAACGTTTCGTGAGCCCTAAATATCACGCCGAAGTTGAAATAGTGCAGCGCCGTCTTTCTATCTACGGCTAAGGAAGGTCATCGTTGTCGAGCCTTCTTTAGTTTGTGTGTCCTGTGAAAGTTTCGCGCTGTTTCTTCCCGAGTTAAAATTTGAGTAGCAGTGTCGTATGAAGCGGTTTGATCAAGCACTGGCTTCTTCATTGTGCTTTAGTGCACTCACACGGTGCCAGCTTATCGCGGTGCGGCTGGTAGCATGTTCCCAATTTAAATGTGAAGCATTTCTTAGCGAAATTCGGCGACTTTGAGCGTATCTATCTATCTAACCGCTTACGTTTGGATGCTCTCGTGGTCACCCCCTTAACTTGGCGTGAACCAAAATATGCATGGGAGGGTAAGATGGTTTGAGGAATATGACACGCTACTCAAGACCTCAATAATGTCACAATCCCGTCACGTAAGTCGTCAAACACGTCCCACCAGACAGTGGCACATACCCACGAGCGGGTATGTGCCGCTGGTATGCGTGTATGTGCCACAGGTGATTGACACTTAGTATCTACCCAGGACAGACGAGAAGACACATGGGCAATTTAAAAAAAAGTGCGAGCGTTCAGAAATAACCAAAATCGGTAGCGTAAACCCGACGAATGCAAAAACTAAATGTCAGGGTCTCAGCTGGAATCAAACCCAAGCATTCTGCGTGGCAATAAAGCATTTTACCACAGAGCTACAGCAGGTCTCAGAACAACTTTTCTCATAGACGTTAATCTTCGTTAAATGTCAATAGTGGTTGCAGTGCTGCCTTACCAATTTTATAAACATTACACATGTGCTCCTTTCATACATTCGTCAAGTCGGGTTATCGTCATTTCTGGTTAGTTGTCATGCGCTGAAGTTGATTTATGTGGCAGTGTTCAGGGCCAGCATCCTCGCGAGTATCAGCGCTTCATATCAGATTCTGGTGTTGCTAATACGTATGTTCCAATTGTCGCTATTGCGCAAGTGCAAATAACTGGTTTTATAAACATCTGCAACTCTTCAACATATGTCTGGGCATGTAACGTTTGCACATATATTTAGCGTCATTTCACGACATGTCACACAATAAAATTTGCAACACGGTCACCTTTCCTCCGCATGCTTCGCATAACGTCGATTCCCAGGTACGTGGAATCTGCCCAATTTTTTCTGAATTAAAAATCTGACCACTTGAAGATTTGCTTGGATTTGGCAGTCACAGGGAAGCCGCTAAAGATATATTTACAAGCTTAGGAACGAGATTTCGATTACCATATACCTCCACAACGATTATATGCGTACATGGTGACGGAGGAACATGGCAGTGTCACAGTGGTATGCGTACTTTTTTGTTGCTGTAAATGCGAACCATTTCTCAGCGAACTGTGGCGACTTTGAATCTATCTATCTATCTATCTATCTATCTATCTATCTATCTATCTATCTATCTATCTATCTATCTATCTATCTATCTATCTATCTATCTATCTAGCCGCCTATCACTTCCAGTTTTCCTGGCCATCTTGACAATGATATCAATACCAAAATTGGTATGGCATAACATGGCTGTATGAGAAACATAAATCAGTTGTCCTAACATGGAAATCATAAATTGTATGCCATGATTGTCATGATTTACATTTTATAGTCTCGATACTCTTGCGGTGGTTTCGTTCACGTGACACTATTTAGAACTGGTATGGTTTATCACAGCACTGCATGGTGAACATAAGTGACAGACCCTAACGTGGAAATAATGGTATGCATGTCATGATTTTCATGTTATCACTAGTCATGTCTATACGCCACGCTCATGGTTCGCTCGCCATCGTTTCGCTAGCTTCACATATACAAAATCGGGTATTACAGGACGTGAATGAATGGAGACACATGACTGGTGCAAACATGATAAGTATGAGATGCGTGTCATGTAAGAACATGGCTACATTCCATGCTCATGATGTGCTCGCGGCCCTTTCGCTAGCTTCACATATGCCAATTTAGGTATCACGTGACGTGAAATGACGCCGAAAGTAAATGGCATGTCCAAACATGATCATCATGACATGCGTGTCATGTGAAACATGACTACATGCACGCTCGTGACTCCTAGCATGACTCCTAGCACGACTCGTAGCACGCTCTTGGCCGTTTTGCTAGCTTCACATATAACAATTTTGCTGTTTCGTGACGTGAATGGACGACGAACACAAATGCCCGGCACAAACATGATGATCATTATGGGGAAATTATGTATGGCATAGTTTACATGTCTACTACTGCTGGTGCTGGTATTGCAAGTGTTAGTGGTGCAGCCATTAACCGACTCTAAACAACATACTTGTAGCTTATCTCGATGCTTGGGTGCGCATAACATGTGTACTTATGTTTTATGTGCACTACGTCCGCATCGTAACATTTCGCGAATTTAGAGTCACATATCCACCTTCCTCATTCATGATTCGCATATCATCGTTTCCCACTGTACATTACATCTGCTTTTTTTTGGCTGGTGGTGGCAGAGAAATATCTCGGCTTCTTTGGTAATTTTTAGGTGGTTCCCTATTGCCTAAACTCGAACCAAATTAGCAATAACTTCGGTCATCGCCGCCGCTGTCGTTCAAGTATATATTACGGTGTCTACAAAGTGAATTTGGCACTTGTATACTGAAAAGAAAATACTTTTCAATAAGAGGCTTGGGCTTGCACTAAAAGATTGCACGGCACTTCATTTCGCAGGTCACCTATTCAATAACGTCCCTAAACAGTCGAATTGGCAGTGGACAGGAATACGGAAAGCGCTCCACATCCAGGCACCTGTTCACTCATCGACATTAAAAATGGCACATCTAGTGAACTGCTTCCATCGTTTTAGTTACTGACTGCGGCTTGGGAATATCAATTGCTTGTACCTCTTCATGACGCGAGAAACAATTGTGGAACCGACTGCAATTCATGCTTTGATAACAGACATGGTGATTTTGAGTGCAGTATTGCAACGCACATTTTTATTGTCACTGGTACTTTCAATAAAATTGATGCAAGTAGCATGAGAAGAATTTAATTTCTCCAACAGCATAAAGGTCTTCGTCGTCGTGTACGATATGATTGTCAGAAACAACAATTTATGCTTCAATTTTATCACCTAATATTTGAAGGGTTCGTGCAGTACTTATTAACTTTCACCAAAAAAAGCTTTTAAATTTACTCATTTGATTAACAATATCGAGTTTGTTTTCGACTACTTATGGCTGCTCTTGATTACTTTCTGACTGGCTAATTTGATTTCATGGCTATTTTTCTCGTTCGGACCTGGTAATCACAGTTGGACCACCAGCGTTTGCGACTCTCGGGTTTTTTACTTCATTAGAAGCTCGGCATGGCATAAGCTAAATGGAATACCGCGAGGAGCAAGTGCAAAGGGCGGGAAAAAATGTGGCTTCTGAAACGTTAAATAGCGTAAGAACGTGACAGGATTGAAACCGCATGACGGGCCACGCACACAGAAGTCAGTCACTTCAAGTCGTTTGCTGGCTTTTTTTGTGTGTGTCAGTAGTGTGTAATGCTACTATATTACAAAAGGAAAGCATAATCAGACCGAGCATATATAATTCATATTGGTACATATTCACACTTTTAGAACATCTTAACTGCCGACTACCAAAATAGAGTGAACGAGTGTTGTCTACAGGTTTATGAAAAACAACTTTAAACTTCTTCTTCTTCCCCAAGACTAGTCAGGTATGATCAAGCATCCCACAAAGAAATATTCTGATACTCACCTTCGTTTTCATCAGCTTGAGTTTCTGGAATTAAAAAGGACAACTTAGTGGTCAGAATCACGGTGCTAATTGTGTTCTTGGTCACGCCTCTGTCCCCCTCAGCATCTAAGTTTACGATTTTAGTGCCATATTTTTCCGGAGCATTGTTCTTATCGGTAGTTATTTTCATTTATCAATACTGCGGGCCCGTGCGCCATGCAAGGGGGTTAATACAAATGCAGATAAAAAAAAGTAGCGACGACACAACAGCAATAAAAGTGACAAATATTATTTTGCAGTCTGACCTCATGTATCGGTATACGACAATTCCATTCACTAATGGTTCACAGAAAATAAGAATACGTAAATATTTTGTTCAGAATTACTTAATAAATGGTACAATTACAACTGCACAACAAATGTGAAAAATTTTCATACGAATGATCCTCCATAAAATATTGCATCTCCCAGCTCACTTTGCAAGATTTAGTGAACGTCTAGGGGTGCAGATATGTGCACGGACAAATCTTCTTTGTCAGAACAAACCACTTAATATTACACATTGAATTCTGAGAAGTTAATACTGACTATATAGAAACCCATGAGAAACATTCTTTCAATTGGAGGGACACAGAAGTGTCATTAACAGAAGGAGCACAATTATCTCTCTGACACAAATGGGCTCAGTATATTCTTGCGAGGAGGCTTATTTCTCTTTCTTACATCGAGTACGCAGAGATCAAAAAAGCTCTTTTCGCACGTACACAAACCGCAGCAACGGAATGCTGACAAGACATAGCCCCTTCACGGGCTCTGTTTATATTGTACACATAAACTTCTGAAGTGCGTCATACACTGCATCTTTCTTCAAGGGGCTTGAAACGCAGTGTGCACGTTTGAGCAAGTAGGTGACAACTAATGCTAATTCACCTTCATTGCGCTGCGTATTGCTGCGGAGTATCAATTTGACAGAGACACTACCATGTTCGACGATCGTTCGACGTGTCATGCTCGAGAACCAATGTGAAGAGTATATTTTTGTTGTTGTTGTTGTTGTTGTTGTTGTTGCTGCTGCTGCTGTTGTTGTTGTTTTTGTTGTTGTTTGAAACGATCCCATTTAAGAAAAGAAACTGTTCATGCATTTTAGGCCTCGTATGTGTTCTTTTTAGGCGAGGGCAATCATGCTACGCCAATTCGACGCGCTTCCACACACGGCATCATAATTCGCGCCGTAAGAGGACATTTATTGTTGTTGTTGTTGTAAATACTTACTTCGGGCTTCCTTTTTATTTAGCGCATGAGGCTTGGAAACACGCTTTTTTTTTTTTGCTGGAAAGCTTACAGTGTTAAATAGAAGCCAAAGCTACACTGATGAAACTTTCGAAACAGTGAAGTACACAGTGCAAATAAAATGAGACTCAGGGAATCGAATAAAAAAATTACTCCCTCTTGTGAGCGATGCCAAACATAGCCAGCAGAAAATCGTTTTACTATAGTCATTCTTTGTCTTGCTTACCCAGAATTTATCCCCGTAGAGAAAGTGCATTTCTAAAATTTTAGTATAAAAAGGAAAATGCTACAAGCCCTTCTGTTTAAGTAGGTCATGCAGCATACGTTCATACGATGCGGTCGTGGAATGAAAGGCATGTGCAATGCTATCTCTCAGCTGTTAAAATATACTGTAGGCAGACCTTTCTTGAAACGTGTTAATTCAATTGCCATGCATGTGCACACTGGGGGGGGAGGGGGTGCTAACACCTCCTTGCAAAGTCGTGTGCGCCTTGTGGCGCACGTGTTTCGCGTATAGACCACACGGCCGCGTACGGCCGAGCGGTAGGTGGTGGTGTGCTCCCGAGCGTTTATCACCACCATCATCATCGTGGTGAGCGCGGTCACGCCGGTGGTGACGCCGGTGGTGACGCCTTGTGGAAAGCCTGGGTGGTGGTTTATGAGAGGTGAGCGGCCTTCTTTTGCGCGTGGTGGATGGCGCAAACGGTTGTCCTTAGCAGTGGATCCGCGGTGCACGGCACCATGGGTCGTCGGCCGTGGGCGCTGGTGGTGAATCAGGTGTTGGCGACGTCGCCTTGTGTTTGTTGTGTTGTTGAGTGTTGTGTAATATTGTGTGAGGCTGTTTAAGCTTGTTGATTACGATTGATGTAATCATTCGGTTGGTGATATTGTCATTCTAAAAATAGTTAAACAAGTGTGTTTGCTTCTTTCGCTTTGACGACTTCTGCTGTGTCATTTTACTTCATTACCGTGGCGCCCTCCACGGCGATACCCTATACATTGAAAATGCGTAGTACATCTAACAGAAATACACTTACATGAAAGTTGTCAGAAATACAGAAGCAGTGACTGCATGATTGCTTGAGGAGTGAATTAGCGTGCTAACGGGACGTCATAGTAAGCGGCTGAATGCTCGGAGCACTTGTGCAGAATTCTTAAGTGTAAATGTAGTCAATCAGGCTAAACAGAATAATGTGCACATATGAACGCACATCGAACAATAATATAAGCAGCTGAATACTTGTGACGTGTGCACAAATAATCAGTCACCTGTGAAAAAATCAAATCATCTCAAAAAAGCTTGTAACGCGACATTGTCTGCATTGGCCTGAAAATTAACCCGGAAAATTACTCACTTTCACTAGCAATATCAAGTACCGATGCTGTTTTGAACACATCATCTTGAGAACCGACAAGCCCAGCATCAATGTCTCTTGAACGCACTTTACGAATCGTGGTACTCTGGCTTGGCTTATTGTGGACACTAACGGTCATTTTACGCAATTGTACTGCCAGACAAAACATTCTGGGAGTTAAAATAGTAAATGAGGTGGAATACGCTACGCTTTAAAACTGGAGAAGTGATTTACAATCAAAGCATTTCTACCATGTTTTTCGCTCATTATACATTGATGTGTCGCATGAATTTATGTTAAAGTTCTAAGGGACAGACCAAATTTACGAATCCTTGATTTCTCACGGCAAGATAAGGAAGTACCCCTACACCAGTGTTGAATAGCAGGCGAGAGCATACTGTTGCTCAGGCCCACCTCTGTACTTCTCTGTAAATAAGCCTCTATGTCTCTCTCACACAGAATCTCTCTCTCTCTTTGGGTTCTTAAATATCGTGACCAAAGTGTGATGGCTGGTGAGTCGTGCGCTAGAATATTTTAAAGACATATTTAAACTGCGCGAACAGGAGAGCAGGTTCGACACATAGAACATACAGACACACACGAAGCGATTCGTGTGTCTGCGTTCTATTTGTCTAACGTGCTGTCTTCTTTGCACAGCTTGAACAGATGTTCCACATAGAGGAACAAACTATTGCCAAACAACGTGCATTACTGCACTCACTTGTATTGGATTTCAAAAAAAGGCGGGCAATAGACAGTAAGCCTTACTTATTTGTTCTGTGAAAAAAAAAAACATTTGTGCTTATTTCTTAGTGCCTCTCTCACCTTTCTCCACGGCGCAAATAAAGCCGTTTTTTACGTCGCAGTGGATGTCATTCCACAGAGCGTCAAACTGTCGCATTTCAACACAGTTCTCGTCGATGCTGCTTGGTTCCCCATTTTTCCAGTGCTCGTAATTCAGAGGAGAGCCATCCAGCCATTCGTAGCTGTCTAAAAATGAAAAAAAGAAAGACGTGCATTTCTTGTCATAACTACATTGCAAATACCACGCTTGTCAATGTACCAATAAGTTGTCTATATAGCAACACGCAGGTTAGCTTTGATATTACAGCGTCTTTAAGTATATTTTTCTCTTTATCTTCTTCAGGGGTCAGCTGTAGGCTCTGTGTTATATCACCCAGCGAACTTGATCAGCAAATATCAGATAATATTTCTCAATTATACCATTACGTGCCAAAAGAAACTCCTGCGAATGCCCATTCGAATGCCCTATGAACAGCGAACAACTTAAAACGCAGTGTTTTGTAACTTGCAGCAAAAAAAACAAGGGGTACCCTTAAGCTTAGCCTTTAATAGTTGAATGAGTTAGCTATATCCCGTTCCAAGTGCGCACTTTAACCACTTCGTGCATACTTTTTTGTATGATGTCACTCAAGAAAGTTAAATAGTGGATTACTACAATATAATTTACATATATTCGAAAGCAGCTTGTGTCAGCGCAGGTTTCGCATATGCCTGCGTTCTGTGTGATGAGTAGCATAGTTTAAACCATGAGCGATTATGCACGTGAATTGTTTTCGAACTCACTATGCATGCATAAGCGAGACCAGCTTAGGGCCATCCAGAGGGCCCACGACATAGCCGTGGAGTTTAACCTCCCCGTCCCGTCGTGGGAGTGGCCCACCGGTGTCGCCCCCTAATGGGGATTGAGCGCCGTTTCCAGATATTAATAAAGTTCTTTGCCTGCCTGCCTGCTTGCCTACGTGGTCTTAAAGGAATACGCGCAGTAACGTGTGCTCCTTGTATAATGGGTGGTTGGCTTTAAACCATGACGTCGTTACTATGATCACATATTCTCACGTCCGATGGTAATGCGGGCCTGTACCACGCAGTATTACTACGATATTACGTGTTGTAACGTAAAGCCTGTACACAGGATGCAAGTGTTTGTAAAGCATGAATGTTATTTTCACTGCATTTACAAGTTAATTCTTTTCTCAGAATTTTCAAGCAAAAGCATAGCTGTGTGTTTGAACATCTGCTTGCTACACAAGCGGCCTTGGTTCGACCCTCACAAGACCCGAAAATTTTCATTATTTTTATTGTGAATCTTTCAAGATTTTGTGTCACGCACAAAATCATGACTTTTCACTCACTATGGACGACGCCGACTCCAGAATTTCTGACGAACGAGCTTTTTAGGCTGTCGCGTTAATACTCGACCATTATATCTTTGATTGACTTATCAAACGTGTTGCTTTTTTATCAAGTTGTAAACTTCACACGTCCAGGTCTCGCAGCTGCTAAGGTCGAATTCTCATTTCTGTATTTCTTTAAAAGTACACCCGGGAAAGGTAAAAAATATGTTGCTAATGACACAATGACAACATTCATTGGGTTTCAGTGTCCAAAAATTATCATTGGTTTATGAGAGAGATCGTAGTGGAGCGCTCTCGAAATTTCGACCACCTAGGTTTTTTTTTTTTTCATTCACCTAAATTTAGATGAACAGGGCTCCAGCATTTTCACCTTTATTGATAATGCGGCCTCATCTTAAAAAATAAGCGGGTGTTGCTAGGATGCGCAACGTCTTTGTAGTTGTTTGTGTGTACACCTCAATATTGATGGGATTTCGTATTGGTGCACGTACCGTTGTAACTACTGACGAGGCCGATCCACAACTGGTGCTGCGACTTACGAAGGTACGGACTCAGCCTTCCGACTTCCTCTTTGGAGTGGAAGCTGGCCAGCGACGAGTCTGAAATGAATATTTAGATTATTGTCACGTGGCTGCGAATGCGGAAAACGCAGAATTGGATTGGGCTTTGATGAAACCTTTTTTCTGAGAAGCGCTTGTCTTCGCAAGCAAAATATTCGCAAAACAAGCAACGCCTGCTGTGCAATTTGACGGTCAGCATGGACATCGGTCGGCGATGCTTTAGCCCTTTCAGACGCCTCTTATGAAGAACTGTGTGTAAATGTATGAAATTCCTTACAACGTTATTTTAAAACACTCAATATTCAACTCGAACAAAAATAATGAGCAAATCGTTGAATGTATGTGTGTTACATCAACTAATCTCAGTAAGGTTTAAATAAATACCTCTTCATCCTGAAGTGACTTTATGGTCACTTTTGGCATGAACAGAATCAAATCTCAGCCTAGGAATATAGAACAACAAAACTTTACTTGCGGAAAAGACTTCGTTGCCGCTAAAACAGGGCGATAACGTCGCGTGGTCGGGCCCCTATTCAGAGGCACCGCTGGCTCTGGTCATCCTTTCAGCCCACCTGACTAGCCTCAGCTGGTCTTCAAGGGCCGGGCTGGACAGCGTTGCCTCCCACCTCTCTCTGCTGTTATCCCTTTCCTGCTCTTTGGTGTGTACCGTACATTTATAGCAAATTCAATTTTGGTTACGTCTATTTTAAGAAAAAAATCTGCTTTTCACAATGCTTGCTCGAAGCGGCACGTCGAACGGCTCGTTGAACGTAGTAATGGCTACATAAGAGTGAGTATATGTATTAGTAAACTGCAAAATAAAGCTAAAGTAAGACAAATTTATGAAGCAGGATGTTGAATTCATCTAATGTACAATATATATTGCTTTTCTTTAGGCTCTATTTGACGCAAAGAGCGAAAACGAGTGGTGTGCACAGTTGTGTACACAGTGTCTCAAAGGGTTAATCGTCGGCGGAACGCGTCATATCTTGTACATTATTGGTGCACGATTCCCGCATTATCACTGCTTCTTGGGTTATCTCCTGCAATGCTCTTGATTATGCCAGAATAGCCCGATGTAACTCCAGATTATTCCTATAAATGTACGCGACCTGCACCGATCACTGGTAAAGGTATTTTAGTGGGTCAAGTCCGATTACACAAAATGAAGAAATTAGCATGCGTAGCGACAACCTCTTCTTATGAGCATCGTCCCGATTCTTCTTAGTAGTATCTGGACAATTCCACCGATCCCAATGATACAGCGAGCACGCCAGCCCAGATGACCTGATCGCCTTAAATACTGCTCCAAGCTGTCAGTGGTGTCCACCAAGCAAGTTTTGAAGATCACTATGTCGTTCAATCGGAAAAAGCCTGCCCCTCAAGCTCTGTCAGTGTGTCTTTATAACGCGGTGCAACGCCGCCTGTACTGAGAAAAAGCCGAACGGTATGACCTTGGCTCGTACAGGCCGTCTGAAATCTCTCAGTCTCTTTTGTCGACTAAAATTTGCCAGTTGTCTTTATTGAGGTTCATCGATGAAAAATGTTCTACGTTTAATCGATACAAGTCGCCGTTGCTCCATAGGAAGAAAACACCGTTTCATTCAGTAGCTTAGTTCAACAGAAGGAAAGTGTATATCTAAATGCTGGTTTTCTTTGTTAGACACTATAATAATGAAAACTAACACACCATATTGCCAGCGAAGGTGTATAGGACGTTACTAGAACTAATTGTATTGTAATTGTCAAGAAAGGTGGGCAAAGCATAACTTGCCACCGGCCGGATTCCAACCTGTGACCTTCCAATAACGCGTCCGATTCTCTGATTCTCTGACACTAAGCTATGGTGGCGGTCCTCCCGCCTTCCACTTTATTGGGTATATATGTGCACCTAAACGTGGGAGCGTCAGTCAGCGCGACCTGTTGCCATTACGGCGAGTGTTCGCACTCGGCATAATGACAGGTGTTCGCCGCTGGCGCAGAGAAACATCTCTCTGCGCCAACGTTTGCTTACTTTTGCTGTCGCAAATGGCGAAGGACTCGTTGAAAGTCATCAGGCGTTCCGTTTCGAGCCAATAGCAGTAAGGGTTGCCCACGTCAATCCAGTTTCTGGCATGTTCGGGACATGCGCCTTCATGATGCTTCACTTCGGGGGGCTTTTCTGCAATTAACAAGCAAAGTGTGCCGACATGAACATATTAGTCAACTGTGGTGATGACATACCTAGCCATTTAATTGCACAAGAGAAGGAAGTTACATTTCCTGACGTTCCTGAAATTATGAGGTAACCCGCTTCGCATTTAAAAACGAAGTAGTTCACCCTACAAAATGGTCGCTTTTTTTTTTGTTCCTTTTCTCTTCTCAATATTCATCACGCAAACTTCGAAGGCTAACTTGAAACGCAAGAAAACTTGTGAATGAAAAAATATAATAATTTTTTTCGAGGAGCTCATATCTTTTTGAACACCACCAAACCGATTCAAGAGTCAACCAGGCAAAAAAGTATACGGGATTTCATTGTGTTTTTTGTTTCATTCCTTTTGTAATAATAATGACCTAAATTCAAGTGTATCAAAGTGGACTAAAAACACTTTCCTTCGGAGTGATTCGAGGCCACATTTTACAGATTACACATCTATCATACACATGCGCTACGTGTATAGCCGCCAATGTCTTCAACTATCGTGTGCGGGCGGCGACTTTGCTGCGTGTCAACGCCATACGACGATCACGAGTTGCAAACAAGGCGAAGATAAGCGCATGCCCACAAAGCATGCTCAGCAGCGAGGCATCTGCTAGGCTGTTCTTTTTTCAGGGCGCAACCGCATATCAGCGTAATCCAAATGGACCACGTTCTACCGCTTATCTGATCAGTGCAGGGGAGCGGGAGTATCTTCAAATGTTATTTCATCCATTTCCGGCTCAATGTCCATCTTTGAAAAACTAAATACGAGAAAAAATTGGCAGATCTTACTGACAGAGGGAATCGATGACATGCGAAGCACGATTGAGATAAGTTGATATGTCACTTTAAAATCATCACCACGTTACGAGGTGGAGGTAGATGATGAAGTACATGACTTCCGTGTCATGATTATTATGCTTCGATGTGTCGTTTACCTTCGTCATCTATTCGTGTCACGTGATACCAAACTTAGTATATGTGGAGCTAGCGAAACGGCCGTGAGCATGCCATGAGCGTGGTATGTTTTCATGTGCTTAGACGACAAGCGTGTCACAATTATCATGTTTGAAAGTCATATATTTTTTCATCCAATGGCATCACGTAAAACCAAATTTGGTATGTGTGAAGCTAGCAAAACGGCCGCGAGCGCATCATGAAGGGCCCAATACATACCCATGTAGCGTTGACGCGCGCGCACAAAGGGCACAGCGACGCTACGTTAGCGAAACGCGAGCACTCTATAGTCTGATGCCAGACGCGACCAGCACGACCAGCGTCTGTCGGCGCGGCTCGATGGCAACAAGCGTGAAATGCGACTTGCTGCATTTTGCGCCGATGTGTTACCTAGACAACACTGCGTCTCCCACTTTTCGTGACGCAGAGACGCTGGACGCGCTGAAACGCACATGCGCCAAAGGAACGCAGCGAAGCGAGTGCCTGCGAGTATATGGCAGGACCGGTGCCTGGCGTGGCAACGCCGGCGTGACGCGACGAAATGAATGCCGGTGAGCACTTGCACCGCGTCACGTCGAAATGTATTGGCGCCGTGAGTGTGGTATGCAGTCATGTTCTCACACGACGCGCATCTCATACTTATTACGTTTGCACCAGTCACATACCTTCGTTATCCATTGGCATCACGTAATGCACAATCTGGCATATGTGAAGCAAGCAAAACGGCCGTGAGCGCATCATGAGCGTAGCATGTAGTCATGTTGTTACATGAAACGCAAATCATGTTTATCATGTTTGCACCAGTATCATACATTCGACATTCATTCACATCCCGTAATACGAAATTTGCTATAAGTGAAGCGGGCGACACGGCCGCCAGCGCGTCATGAGCATGGCAGCGCGTCATGGCATGTAGTCATGTTGTTACATGACACGCATGTAAAAATTTTCATGTTAGGGTTGGTCACTTGTGTTCGCCATGCAATCATGTCATACCATGCCAGTTTTGCAACAAGTCATGTGAACGAAACCACCGCAATAGCTGCAGGATCATGATATGTAAATCATGGCGTTCGTGACCTACATTTCATGATTTTCACGTTATTACTAGTCAAATGTGTTTTTCATACAGTCGGGTTATGCCATGTGAAGTTTTGTATCGATACCATTATCGAAACGGCCAGGAGAGCTAGAAGTTGTAGGTGGCTAGATAGATAGGTATACGCTCAAAGTCACCGAAGTTCGCTAAGAAATGCTTCGCATTTAAAACTCTTTTGCTACTCACGCTGTCTGTTCGTCTCAGATGCGCTAATGTGAGGTGGCGTTCCTAAGAATGAAAAGCCTAGCAGACGACGCACCTGGCTGAGCACGCGTTGTGGCCACGCACCCACTCTCGCCCTGTTTGGTACTCGGCACCCTTGTACGGCGCTCAGGAAGTAAAAATTTGCCGGCACGAATGATCGTTGAAGATTTGTGTGACTTTACCTCCGCCACACAGCGGTGCTGCCACAAAAACAAGTGCAGGTTTTGCTATTATTGTTCCAAGGTCAATGAGGATGTTTTTCGATACGTAGAAATGAACAAAAGCGCAAAATGCACAAAGTCGAAAAATATTACGCTCATTATATAACACAAATCATTACACGCATCCAATGAACGGAAAACAATATAGGACAGAAAACAGCACGCTTTATCACTTCCTTATTTTACGCGATTGGGCAATGACTCCTAAAGATGGACCAATATTTAAATCATATGTACTAGGATTAAAGATAGAGAGCAAAGAAACGACACAGATCAATTGTGAAGTTGTGCAATTCATTCCGTACTAGGATTAAAGATAGAGAGCAAAGAAACGACACAGATCAATTGTGAAGTTGTGCAATTCATTCCGTAACACAAAAATCAGGCTGGAGGGAAGTGTCGAGCTGGGCTGCATTTTTTGCTTTAATTTCGCTTTTTTTTGCCTTTTCTATCTCACACTGTCTTCTACATAGCTGTTGTTCAGTGACATGGTACCAACGTCCTGGAACGGTGAAGTTAAGTAATCCGTTATCACCGTGACCACCGTGATTAGCCCCGGCAAAGCCTTGTTGCTACGCATCCATTTTTTTTTTTAGAGCGTTTCCAACAGAAGTGCAATTTTGTCAGCACCTCAAGACAAAGCGAAGCAGTGATCTTAGCCGAAGCATCGGTATCGCTCGTTGCATTAATCTATGTTAAAAATAGCTATGCGAAGTACACCTGCCAAGGAGGCTGCCCGACTGCCTCGTCTGCCTGTAACACTGTGCTCGCCGCTTTCCTCGCCGGGAGCAGACACGACACACGGAGGCAGGTATGTATATATTACGTTTGCTTTAGTTTTTGTTTTACATGAAATGACATTATGCCGACTTCCAACAAAGCTCCGGTGACGTATTTTCGTCAAAGCAATGACGTTGTAAAAACTCACAAGTTCAGATGGCAAACAAAAGTTTCCTTGAATGGGCATGAAACCCAAGACGGCTGATTAGTAACAGATGCCCCACCAGCAAAACTCTCATATGACATTATGTCCGTAGTCATTATTCTCGTATGGACTCTCATGAGTTGCACGTGTTCTCCTATGATCATACAAAATCATTGAGTAGGTGTCATACCTGTCGTATGAGATTTTTCGACAGGGCCAGCGTGCTATATCTCACATTTTAATCTCGCAGTACTATTGGTCAGCAGGGTAGTGTCACCCGTTGAAAGCGGTAAATTGAAGTACCACATCGTTACTCTGACCTGCTTGTTTAGCTACTGTGTTTAGAAAAAGTGGTTAACGATTTAGAGTACTTAGTACTCTACTATGGGAGCTATGAGCTCAACGTTCATGGGACCGCATTGTCGCTGCCACGTGTCACTGCAACGCGTAAGCGTGCTTCTCATTCGGCGCATTTTCGGCCATCTGGTGAACGTCTTAATACACTGCGATGTGGCGACCTTATAGGCCAAGTGTCAGCCTTGCTCATGTCATCCATATATATCAAAAATAGCTCTACGACGCGCGCCGGTCTCATTTGACCAGCGTGTCTTTTCTCATCGTGTTTCCCGTTTAGACTGGCTCATAAAAAAAAATGCGGCAGTGCCAGAGGGAAAGCGAGACGTGCGTTGCGTTTCACCTTAGCCCAGCCGTAGTGTCTCATCACTCTTTAACATGCCACGGAATGAGACTTTAACGGAAGTTTTGAGTCCAATTATCGACGAGCTGGTTGTCACACCGCTTTCACTATCGACCACTATACCTACCAAGAACGTTTGTTTATTAATAGATCATAAACATTTGTCGTCAGAATGGAGGTGTTACACTACGTGTCACCGTGAATGCATCAACATTAAATGTAGCTACGGAGACCATTCATTAACCATAGTAATCTGCATTGCTAGCACAAGCCCATCTTTAGTCCGCTGACTTTGACTGTTAGGGGCACGCAGAAAGCAGACTCGCCTTCATTTCCCCCGTGTAGCCCAGCCACAGCCCACCACTCACGATCATACACAAGAGTTCCCGTTGAGTTCCATTTTGACCAACCAAGTCTTTTGATTGCTGTTCTTATCCACTAGGCTTTGCCTTCTGGTGTGGCGTCGACTGTATGGCGTCTATAGCAGCCAAGCACCAATAGGCGTTGTGCAAGCTCTCCTTTATCACTCTGCAGTAAAATTCGTTAAGCACACGTTTTATTTTCGTGTTATACTAGTTGCTATGCAGGAGGCATAAAGAATTTTTTGTTTATTTTGGACATATTTTAGCATCCCAGTTAGCAGGAGAAGCAAATAATAATTGAATTGAAAGTATTTAGTTATTTAATCTTGGTTTTTCAAACCTGTCTCCAATTTCCTAAGCATACTTTTTTGTCCAGCTTTGTTGCCTCAAAAATTTGTTAATTATCTTGCTTAAACAAATAACTAAACATATTACAAAAACTATTATGCATGCTCTATGTAACATTCATCAATTTGAATTAGGTCGCATTGCCATACAATGCGTGGTCCTATTTTTGAGTTGTGGTTAGATTTAGGTAGGTCATTCTGAATAAAGCAAGTCGAGTACATCAATTCCGTCTCTTCCTGTTTACAAGTAAAGAATCATAAAAACACTTCAGAGCAATTATGACGCACTACTGTAGAAGTACTCTGCAGTCTACACTCTGCTTATATATGAGCCTAGATATGGGCCTAGGTACTGCAAGCCTGTGAACGACTGCAGATGCTCATACTGAATATTAATCTTTGACGTTTCGTCTGGAAGCAGTCTCTTAATTTGGTTCCAAGAACTTGTTAGCAGACGTAAATATTTTCCCCATTGGTTAAATAGTAGAGGAGTAAAATTTGTTCCTATTGCACATGGCTGTACAGATCTGGAAACACAATCAAAGAAATATCAATATGATAACAACCATCTGTTTGCTCTTACATTACGTTTGTGGCACCATTCGTAACAGTTTAAATGAATTCTCGCATGAAACTCTGCCATTACCTGAAACTTTGTTGTAGTCCATGGCAGCTTCGGTGTAGCACTGAGACATCGTAGCACTATGTTAGCTCTGATGGCTTCTGTACCATCTCAAGAGGCTTCGTCATGATTACCATTTCATGTCGCTATTGGTGGTCACAGGGTTAAAGTTAAAGCAAGAGATATTTCCTGGCTACCATAAATGACTACCAGCGCTTCTAGAAAAGTACGCTCAAGTGCTCGCTCAATTTGAATCAGAGATACCGGTCATAAGCGGCATATCCACCCAGACAGGGTGAACAAGAACGAGCCCTCTAAAAGCGTTCAGTGGTGTAAAGCGACAGCTACTAACCATTGTCAAATTGGCAGAGGAAAGGCAAGTGCGTGTCGCAGGGCTGCACACGCCACATCCCCGTTGCTAGGTCAGCAGCCACACAACGCCGGTCGCCGGTCGAAGCATCTGGCTGTAAGGGAGCCCAGTTGGTGTACTGCACCGGCCAACCGCTCAACCAGGTGAAAAGTCCTGTGGCCTGTCGGATTGTCACGGACGGAGACAGGAAAATATCTGTGTGTTCATGAGGATTACAAACTTTTGCACAGAAGACGACAAAATCTATCTATCTATCTATCTATCTATCTATATATCGATCAATCGATCGATCAATCGATGCACTGTGGTTGTGTGTGTCTGTATTATTACATTAAATTTCACAGTACCGCTGTACAGGACGAGGTGGAAATGAAAGTCTGAAAGTGGGAATGGGATTTCCAAAAGAAGGTCTTCAGTTCTTCCATTTCTAACCTTACCACCAACTTCTAATATTATATAGTCAATGAACGTAAATTCAATATTTACAGCAGTATTTGATGTATCACCGTTGACTGCAATGACCCGTCATTGTTTTGATGTGTCTGATGTGTCTGCCATAAGTGGGAAGTTTTCGCAAGCTCAATCGTGCCAACACCTGAGCAGAACCTTTACGTCTTGGGGAAATGTTATGCACCAGTATATCATTAGCGGAGCGCGTTGCTAGATTACTTAATCTTCAAATTGTTGATATGCTCCCGCAGGCGTTCACTGCGACACCGTCCGCTGTCGCCAAAGGGCGTTTTGCCACCATGTGCTGGAAATCTCGTAAGACCTACCATCTTACAATGCATTAATCATTAAGTGGCGTTCACATTGCAGGAAAGCTGCAGGTGGGCTCACATCTTCTGCTTTTTCAAAGCGACTGTCGGCAAATCAGGCTACGACTCGACCGACTTGACCGTCTATTGTGTTTCAATAATCGATATAAAATAGTAATCATTTAGGACGTCGCTGCTTTCATATTACAGATTATTGTGGTAATCTTGAATCGAAAACGCTTGATAGAATCACTCTCGTGTAAATACTGCCATGGTCATGTTTGTTCGCATTGAGCCAATAATATTTATCAATCTCAGCTTGCCTCGTGGGCTGCTCTTTCTACCATGCACTAATGGAAATAGTGGATGGAGGTTTCAGTTTTCTGAGACATCCTCACATGATGTTAGCAAATAATTAAGCCAGGCTAAGTACGCAGTGTGTTATTGGTAATATTTAAGGCATTGTAATAGCCACAACATAACAGAAAATTGAAACGACGTATGAAGGACATTCTACCGGTAGGGGCATACTCCACAACCTTTGCATTATGCGTTCTACGTCCTGCCAAAAGAACGATGGCTATGGCTTGCCCCTGATCACTTTCTTGGGTATTTCAGGGTGTGTAATTCTTGGAGTAGTACCCAGCGCCCCTCTTAGCCGTGGGGCCGAATGGGAACAATCTGTGCGAGATTACTTGTATGCTCATCACATCTCATGCTTTTCAACTCACCTTCACGTCCTGGAGACCAATCCAGAACAGACCACCACGAAAATTGAACTTCACGGAGAGGAAGGCATCCTCGAAGACATCTCGCACGTCCGCCAGCTGCCCACCCTGAGATAAACAGATCTCGGCAGCGCGGTCCCAGTCCTGGTATGAACCCATGCGGTAGCACGACTGCCGGTACTGGAATGATCCCGGGAATGCCAGCTCACATCGAGAGCTGTTTTTTATCGAAGGCTGAGGAGGCAGTGACCTGTCTGCAAAAATCAAGGCACTGTTCTTATTTGATACCTGCGATAGTACCAAACAAGACGGCTCATGTCTTTTTCATTTTATTTTAAGACCCAGCTGCCAGTCAGGCACTAAGTGAAAGGGAAACGGGCCCTTTAGAAATTAGCAACTAGTTTAACAGTATAAATAACAAAAATAGGACGATATAAAATATCTACGACACATCTACAAATATTGAAGGGCCTTAAGGCTTTGCATTTAAACGGTGAACGCGATAGCAATATCCTGTCCCTATAGTGCGTCCTTCAACCACTTGGTGCACACATTTTATTGTATGATGCTACTCAAGAAGTTTAAATCGTAGATTACTAGAATGTAATCGATAAAGTTGAAAGTGTATTGTGTCAGTGAAGCTTTCGCATATAGTCGCATTGTGTGTAATGGGTGGCATGCTTTAAACCACAAAAATTAAGCGCGTGAATTTTTTTCAAACTTGCTCTGCACCCACTAAGCAGTCCTAAGAGAATACGTCCAGTACTGTAAGCGCCTTCTCTCGTGTAAACGCTAGACCAAGAGGCATAAACGTGTTGTTTCAGTGTGTATTTGCGACTTTGTCTTTTAGCGTAGTGAAATGCACAGATTATCATGCTCAGCCAACGATACGTCTACGATAGCCTCCCACCTCGTTTCTTTTCGCAGACGTGCATTCTTTTGGCGTTGCACCGAACTTGATTCCACTTTCCCGGGTGCAGCGTGCCGGTCAGAATTTCAGTGCAGTCCTCCTGCGAATCATTTGGTTATAAGTACTTAAATCAATACACAGTGCTTTTAAAACATATGTAAATAGCTGAGGCTATTAGAAAATATCCCGTAATTACTGTGATACATTGAGTTTATTTTATATCTATCCAGTTTTATACAACTGTCAGGGCGCACATGGATCAATAGAAAACGGCAACCATCTCTAAAGCCAAGTTTTCAAAGTCCGTGCACGCAATTACCTTAAATTTTCTCAATCAAAAATAACTTGGCATATCCTCGTTGCACCCACTCGTTTTTAGGCACTTATGTAGTGTCATATAAAATTGATGTGTGAAGGGCCAACTTCTATACGTACATTATTTGAATAAAGTATGAAGCACACGCTCACGCTGATATCAGCAAATATGCATCAGTTCTCGGAAACATCTTGGCAATGATGAATCAGGGTGTTTCAGTTTAGTAATATCTTTATAATTAAGACAGAAGAAGTCAGTATTGCCGATTCGCTAAAATTAAGTTAAGCAAACCTGCTTGTAGAACACTGTGTTGTAACAAAGAGTCACTGACAAAAAAGTTCCCACGAGGAGATGCTTACTGACCGTTAAAATGCACAAAAAGAGAATGCTAGTAATGACACCGCCATGAAGTTCTCGTACGAATTCAAGTCGACAGAAATGAATCACAGCGCGCAATGTTCTTTGCTCTTCGTCTTATTCATCTTCTGCTTCTCTCACAGAATATTCCGTCCACTTGTTCGGAGTTGGATACAATAAGTTTCATGGATGAGAAAAGGAATACATAGCGAAAGAAAGGAAAGAGCTGAAGAAAAAGAAAGCAGATTCTTGGCAAAAAAAAAAACATCTTGTCGAGGTTGATTCCCACTCGAGCGCCCGCCATCGCTTGCATCGTTGCTGTTAGGCTTACCAAGCACGCTAGCAGTCAATAGTCTAGCCTTCTATAATATAATATAGCAAGGAGGAGAGGAAGAGAAGTCAGCGTTTGGAGGAATATTTTGAGGGTGAAAATGAACAAAAAAAAGAGGGGTAGATTAAAAAATAGCATAGAAAGACAGAGAGAAAAAGAGAATAAGAAAGGAAAGAAAACATAATGGTAAAAAAAGATAAAAAGAGAAAAAATATAAAAAACGAAGTGAAAAAAATTAACGAGAGAGAGAGAGAGAGAAAATAATAAAGAAAAGAAAAATGAATAATGTTAGAAAGCGCGAGAAAGAAAATTGTGGTTCTGTGTGATTTTTCTATTGCTTCCTAGATGTTCATTGTCAATCATTTTTAAAATTTTTATCATATCCTCGTGGCTGCGCTTTTCACAAAATCCATGACACTTGAAAACGAATAGCAGGTGCTATACAAAAGCGCTAAGATCTCCTAAATATCATATCCTATAATATTAAGCATAGCACCAACAAAAAAAAACATCATTTTATCCTTTGTTCAGCCGTCCGGACATAACCCTCCTATCATTCCTTCATAAATATCTGCACAAGTCAAAGTCTTTATCAATACCACCGCAAATCTTTACACACACCTCGACTGCACAATCCTTTTACGTTCCCACGCATATATACAGAAAAACTGAAATTTTCAACTCATCTGCCCTCCCACACGCTATCCCTATATATCACGATATTTCATATGATGCTGAGCGCAAGGACAAGGAATTTCGAGAGCACTTCCAGACGCATTTTCTGAATTACCCGTTTGGTTTATTCCCGTCTAATTTGGTATTATGTGTATACTGTCAGTACTTTTGAGTTTCAATATATTTTTATTGCATAAAATAATAACATTTCCATCATAATGTACGAGTAATCTTCAGCAATGCTTTAAGTTTTTATGACCTGCATAAACCAATGCAATTTTAGAACTTTTCCTTGCTCTTTGTAGCTTATGGTTCTACTGTGATTATTTATCCTGTTCTCTGCATGCAGTTAACGTTGCATTTTGTTTATCGTTAACTAAAACACATTATACATTCATGCGACGTTTCGTGATTTTATTATTTCTATATAGGTTGTGAGTTCATATACATGATCTTCTTACGCTTACCTTGCACAATGCCCTGTTTAGTCTGCAGAATAGCTTTAATAAATGAATTAATGTAATAAAATAGGAAAATATGGAATAAACACAGACAAGAACAATGAAAAGAATTAAACAGAGAAAGAAAACAAACAGCGAAATAAATAGAAGCCAAGACGCACGCTCCGCTCCGACAACCTTCACGCGTGTAGTCCGTACTGAAAAGGTGCTTTAATGTTATTAACAATTACATGTCCTCTTCGATTGGTTTACTGCTTCCCTTCAATGTCTTTTTGATCCCAGAAATTAGAGTGACGAAATTATTCGCTTTTTCACAACAACAATCAGGCATACAAAACAAGAGGCCGGATAAATACTTCAGCCTGGTGGCTCACATGGCATCGCCTCGTGAGAAAGAAACTACGTGTCGATCCAAGAAGGTGATGACGTCCGCTCTACATCAATACTTGTTTTGCAAAGTCATTCCTATGTGCACAGGCGCCTATTCGTCACTCTTTTCTTCATCTCTCTTAGATTTGGGTAACGAGAGTAAACAACTAAGAATGCCCTCCAATCTAGTACAGCGGTTCCTGACCCAAAGGTGGTCGGTTCGATCTTGTCCGTGGTGGTGGCATTTTTACGGTGGTGAAATGCTGGAGGCTCGTCTTCCGTTCGATGCAATCGCAGATTAAAGGGCACCAAACGGTCTAAATTTCAGAAACCCCCCACTACGTCGTTTCTCATTGTCATATCGTCCTTTTGGAATCTGAAGCCCACCCGCCGCGGCGGTCAAGTGGCTATGGTACTCGACTGCTGACCCGCAGGTCCTGGGGTCGCATCCAGGCTTCGGTGCCCTCATTTTCGGCAGAGGCGAGAACGCTTTAAGTCAATCTGCTTAGTCTAAGGTGCACGTTAATCTAGAACCCCAGCTGGTCACAATTTCTGAAACCCTCCACTTGGCGTCTCTGATAATCTCACCATCGTTTGGGACATGAAACCCTATCAGCTACTATTATTGGGACTTAAAACCCTAAATATTATTTTTAGTAGGTAAGGATGATTAACAGTCTTACGCCTTTCGGGCGAGGCTGGCCGATAATCCAGTTAGTGTAAGTAACAGGGTTGCCGTCCATCCATGTCCACGTTTTGTTTGGAAGGCGCTCGATGCCAATCCATAAGTTGGTTGTTGCGTCACTAAGACGGCTCATCAAAAACTCTGTTGAAACAGACAAAAGGAAAGGCTGTAAGAACTCACAATCGCCATTTCTAAGTAATACAGCAAGCGAATCGCAGTTTTGCGCATCACTTGTAGGCTACTGTTTTCTAAATTATCGCCTTTATTTACGCGCGCGATGATTATGATATATGATGTTTATTCGCACAAGGGCCATTTTGGGGCGAAAAATCGCCAGAACATGATAACGATTGTGAGTAATGAGTTCGCTTCATGGCTGTATAGGAACCTGAAGTCCTCGTGCTGGTCAAATATGTAGGCAATAAAAATGATGAGAGCGCCATGAATTATTTGCTGTGAGGGTCAGTGAGAAGTGGTCGTAATATTAAAATATGGATAGAAGCCATCAGCACCACTGCCATTGAGTCCAAGGGCCGTGAGGGAGGTGCTTTCTTATGCAGGAACTAATTTCGAAATCCGGTCTAGCCTTGAAGAAGATAGAGTCATTTCTTCAAGGCTAGAATTGATTTCTGAATAGAAGATGAGTCCACATGAAGTGTCTGCTGGAGAACATAACCCCTGTTTAAGGTTTTAAATGCAAAGGATTTCTTGGCGAATTTCGGCGACTTAGACCACATCTTTTTATCTATCTATCTATCTATCTATCTATCTATCTATCTATCTATCTATCTATCTATTTATCTATCTATCTATCTATCTAGCCGCCTATGACATTTACCTCTCCTGACCTTCTCAATAATGGTATCGATACCAAAAGTGGTATAGCATAACATGACTGTATGACGAGCATAATTGGCTAGTCATAAGATGAAAATCATGATATATCTCATGAATGTGATGATTTACACCGCAAGAGCAGCATAGTGTCGCAGCTCTTGCGGTGATTTCGTTCACATGACGCTTTGCAAAACTAGTTTGGTATGACTTGACTACGTACCAAATTTAAGTGACAGACCCTAACATGTAAACTATGACATGCATGTCATAACTTTCATGTTATAACTAGTAATGACTACACGCCATGCTCTTGGTGCGCTGGCGGTCGCTTCGCCAGCTTCACATATACCAAATTTTGTACTACGGGACGTGAATAGATGACGAATGTAAATTAATGGTGCAAACATATTCATAACATGCGTGTCATGTAAAACATGACTACATGATACGTTCATACCATGCTCGCAGCCGTTTCGCTACCTCCACATATACCTAATTTGGTATCACGTGATGTCGATAGATGACGAAGGTAAGGGACACGTCTAAACATGATAATCATGATATGCGTGCCATGCGAAACATGACTACACGCTACGCCTATAGCGCGCTCGCGGCTGTTTCGTACTCCACATTTAGAAATTTTGGTATTACGTGACGTGAACAGACGACGAACGTAAATGACTCATCCAAATGTGACAATCTTGGCATGTAAGTCATGTACGGCGTAATTTACGTTCAGCCCATAACGTTTTGCTCATTTTTAATTGACATATCAATCTTCATCATTCGTGTTTCGCATACCAACGATTCCCACAGTACGTGGGATCTGCCCTTTTTTTTTTCTTCAAAGGTTTACATCTTCGCCTTCCTGCCACTTTTGGGGGGAAGGTGGGTGTAAAATATATATTGAAACAATTTACAAGTGAGAGGTGGGGCCAATCTTACGGGTCAGAACTTCAGGAGGAGTCTTGTACAAATTCTAGGAGGAGTCCCTTGTCCGGGACACCTGTGGCTTCCCCGGCGGCATGCGCTCTCGCCACGAGGGCTATTTACCCTACAAAGGCGAGCAGTCGAGTAGGGCTGCCTCGCAGCTCTCTCGTGTAGGGGGTGAAGGAGAAGCGATTGGGGGACCACCAGATTAGATGGGCATGCCCTGATCATGTTGAAAGTGCCCGCAAATGGATGATCATAATGTGGTAATTCTCCGGAGAATGCCGGATTTAAACGCCTAAGTGTTGCCGGGCACAGCACTGTGTGTTTAGGCTTAAGAGCCAGTGCTCATCCGCAGGGGTTTGACATAGCCTTTCGGTACACTGCAAAAGCGGATCATAAAAGCCGCGAAGATACAAACGCAAGGTTCATATCTGCTCCGACAGGTATTCCAGCTGCTCCTAAGCGATGCGTCTCCCTCATTATTCAACTGAATATTTTCATTATTAATACTGAATTTTCCTTGACGCTTCTTTTCAGTAAAGTTGCAATCTGATATCATTATTATTCATGGTAACTTTATTGTGTACCGCGACTATTAATTTACTTCCTATCTTTGATTTTAGAATATCTTTTCTGAATAGAAGGAAAACCTGAATAAAGTGCTTCAACAGAAGTGCTGAAATGAGACCTGAAAGCTCCACTCGGTGACACTGCCACTAGCGATAAGTTTGAATATCTCAACTTTTTGAAGATGGCGTCACTGAATCGGTAATGCTCCTTCATTTTATGTTAACATAGGTAAACGCCTTCATGGTATCTGTCCCCAAGTTGAAAATAACTGGATTGCCTGTGTGTCAGGCGATATGACACGTAAAGCTCAAAATTATTTCGGATTCTGCAGCGCTCAAACAACACAAGAACGCACTCAACGTAAAGACGTGTTGATTTGGTCGTCTTTATGTAGGATAGTGGTGATGTAGTTACAAAAACAAAAAAACACGAAACCTCACTTTGTTCTTTTTCCGTGAGTACAGAGACGAGGCTCCCGTTTAGCGACTTGCAGTGTCGAGTGGCTTGGAAGTACATCATCCGGCTTTCATTGCTTGCAAACCAGTAGCAGCTTTGACCTGCAAGAAAGAGATCGGCAATAATAAGGTACTGTACACGTGGAATTAGAAGGCAGTCTTGAAAACGCTTCAGCAGTGCCGAACGCTGTTGACCACCACTAATGTCTGCAATGCTAAAGTTTGTTTGGTCGGAGGTATGGATTCATTATCATCATCATCATCAGCCTGACTACATCAACTGCAGGAAAAAGGCCTCTCCCATGTTCCGCCAATTAACCCGGTCCTGTGCTTGCTGCTGCCAATTTATACCCGCAAACTTCCTAATCTCATCTGCCCACTTAACCTTCTGTCTCCCCCTAACTCGCTTGCCTTCTCTGGAAATCCAATAAGTTAACCTTAATGACCAGCGGTTATCCTGTCTACGCGCTACATGCCCGGCCAATGTCCATTTCCTCTTCTTGGTTTCAACTATGATATCCTTAACCCCCGTTTGTTCCCTAATCCACTCTCCTCTTTTCTTGTCTCTTAAGGTTACACCTACTATTTTCTTTCCATTACTCGCTGCGTCGTCCTCAATTTAAGCTGAACCCTCTTTGTAAGTCTCCAGGTTTCTGCTCCGTAGCAAAGGACCGGCAAGATACAGCTGTTATACACCATCCTCTTGAGGGATAGTGGCAATCTACCTGTCATAATTTGAGAATGCTTGCCAAATGTGCTCCACCCCATTCCTATTCTTCTAGTTACTTCAATCTCGTGGTTAGGCTCTGCGGTTCTTACCTGTCCGAAGTAGACATAGTCTTGTACAACTTGAAGTGCACTATTTCCATGAGGTACAGATTAGTGAGTTGTAATACTACAAAAGGTTTTTTGAACGCAATAGCGGTCAAGAACTCGTTTTGCAGAAATTCTTGCGTTGGTGTCGGCGTCGTTGTCGGCGTCGTTGGTTGTGAGCGGTAAACCATCATCTTTGCGTAAACCAAAAAAAAAAATAGTGACACATGCAAATAGAGTAAGTAACGAAAATTTCGGGTGTGACTGCAAATCAAATCCTGGTAGTTTTTATGGCAATCGGGTGCTCTGCCACGCAGACACGCTTCTGCGTGTGAATACAGGGAAAATACCTTCCTCTGCTGGGAAATGGAGTGAAGTAATATTCATACATTACAAGCACGTGCATCCGGTGTACACGGTTCGCAATACAGCATGAAATGCTGCCGTAATAATGCGTAGTACGAGCATACATTTCTAGCGGGCATCTGAATATGCGATTATCATGACTTCACAGTTTAAAGCCGGTCACTCATTACAAAAGGCACACACGCTACTGCATTTTTGAGGTCACATATCGGGTGCATAGCAAGTTTGAGAAGATTTCATACACTAACCCCTGTATTCAGAAACGTTCCTCGACTCGAATTTCACCCTTCACTTGACATAATTGAGCACTGCGCCACTGCTCGGCTGAAAATAATGCTGCACTGCTCAAGAATCGCAGCAGATTATCGCTTATATGGAGTGACTTGCCACGCCTAGAGACGGCGCTCCCGTCGGCTTTCTCAAGTGAAGGTGAAGCGTTGAGTCAAGGGACGTTCTAGAATACGGGGTTTAGTGTTTGAAGTACGCACAAGGAAGAGCGTATCACAATCACGTTCAACTCTTAAAGAATAAGCTTAAGGGTCTCGCAATTTTTTTATCTTGGTCTTCGTCTCTCTCTCCCTCATTTTTTGCGGAACACACCCGTTAACTATGAAAACCAGATCAGTGACCAAAACTTCCAACAATGATACTTGTATAATGAAGGAATGATGATAACAAAAGGAAACAGCAAGCATCATCGCAGAATAAGGCACCACGAGATCGGCGCTCGAGCTCCTCCATCTTCCTCGTCCTGTCGCTATCTCCAATCTCCGACCTGCCCGTTTGGTTCGCCCAATAAACCTCTTTACATTTGGTGGATCGTGCTGGGTAACCACATCGCCTACAACCTGGAACTCCGATCTCGCAACCTGCCGTCGACCGTGCAAGTTGACGCTGCCCAACAAACAATACCTCTCGCGGCCACTACTTGCCCCGGCCCGGTTCATCAGCGAGACCCCCCGATCATTGCCGGCACCGAAGACCAGGACGTCGAGGACTGGCTGTCGTCATACGAGAAAGTCAGTGGACCCAACAGGTGGGATGACGCTGCTAAGCTAGGCACTGTCAATTTTTATCTCACCGACGTGGCCAAGCTGTGGTATACGAACCACGAAACCGAGTTCGCGAATTGGTCCGCCTTCAAGGAGGCAATACGTGCCGTTTTTGGTCGTCCTGCCTTACGGAAGCTACGCGCCGAACAACGTCTGCGCATACGGGCACAGGAGCGAGGTGAAACTTTCACATCATATATAGAAGATGTGATTGATCTCTGCCGGCGCGTCGATGCTTCCATGAGCGAGAGTGCGAAGATACAGCACATTATGAAGGGCGTCGACGATGACGTTTTCCAGATGCTTCTCGCGAAGTCTCCAAGCACTGTGGCAGAAGTAGTGACTTTGTGCCAAAGCTATGATGAATTGCGGAGGCAACGAGCTCAGACGCGACGCTCATTCCAGACAATCCAACCAGTGGCCGCACTGGACGCTATGGCTAACCAGGCAAACCTTCTCGCACAAATGAAAGACTTCGTGCGAGAGGAAGTGGCTCGGCAGCTTTCTCTGCTGCTTTTTGCTCAACGCCAGGAGCTCTCGCACCAACAGCCACTGCGACACCCACCACCATTGGCTCCCATGCTCCGACATGTGGTCCAGGAGCAGATTTCCGAGGCTATGCCGGTGCCCTTGCAGCAGCCCACCGTCACCGCGCCTCTTACTTACGCTGAGGCACTAAAGCGGCAGCAGCGACACCACCCCCCGTCGTTCCAGGGACTGCCGTATACCTCAGCCCCGACTCAGCCGTCCACCGCCTGGGTTCCTCCCATTGCCACCACAGCCTCGACACACCCGTCTGCCGCATGGACTGGTCCCCTCGTCGCCAATACTTGGAGAACGCGCGATAACCGGCCCATCTGTTTTGCGTGCGGCGGCCCTGGCCATATCGCCCGTTACTGCCGTCGTCGCGTGCCGGGATACACAGACGCCCGGACACAGAACAGCTTCATGGACCTTTCTCCATCCCGTCTGGAATATTCTGACCCTCAGTCAAGCTCGTCTTCACGGGAATGTCCGCGTACTATGTCTGGTCGCTCACCTTCACCCCGTCGTCGCTCCCTGTCACCCATGCGTCGTCCGCCAGCTCCTGAACACGAGGGAAACTAACCGCCGCAGTTCAGGAGGCAAGAACTGCGCTGTCGAAATGCTCAAGTCCTCGGACATTGCCGTCGAATATTGTCGAAGTTTTTGTAGAAGGTACTCGAGCATATGCTCTAGTGGATACTGGTGCTGCCGTTTCCGTGATAGACGCTAAACTTTGCCGCAAGCTCCGTAAAGTGACGACGCCTCTTAACATGATGTCCTTGCAAACAGCGAATAGGGACCCGGTTCAGCCTGTAGCCGCCTGTACTGTCCGACTGATGATCGCGAATGACCACTACACTGTTGAGTTTATTGTCCTGTCGTCATGCTCACACGACATCATACTTGGATGGGATTTTTTATCGCGTAACCATGCCGTTATTGATTGTGCAAGATTGGAGCTTGAACTTTTCCCGTTTTACGACCAACCAACCAGCCGCATTCAGCCCGCCGTACACAAACTCGTCGTCAAAGAAGGCACTGCAATTCCTCCGACAGCAGCTGTGTTGCTCCCCGTGTTCTGTGACGGCATTGGGAACGAAGCTGCATTCTTTGAGCCATCAAGCCTCTTCCTTAGTCGAAGATCACTTCTTCTGCCTTATTCAACCCTCTCTATTTCTGAAGGAAACAGTGCTCTTTGCCTCATCAATCCCCTTCCGTATCCCGTTGAACTGTTTCAAGGTGAATCTCTTGGACACGTGCATGCCATTGATAAAGAACAAATTTTTACCATGCCGCCAGATTGTTCCGGTGACTACGACGCCATAAGTGCCCTCAACCCTTCCAATATACCACCTTGCGAGCTTTTCGATTCATCGATTGCCGACGGACTATCGCCATCTGAACGCTCTGAGCTCCTTCAGCTGCTCTACCAGTTTCGTGAATCCTTTGACGTTGCTCAACCTACCCTTGGCCGAACTCCCAGTTTTTTCCACCGCATCGACACAGGTTCCAACGCGCCAGTACGACAGCGACCATACCGTGTTTCCGCCACAGAACGTCAGGTTATCACCGAACACGTTGACGATATGCTCAAGCGCGACGTTATCCGACCTTCCCAAAGTCCATGGGCATCACCTGTCGTTCTTGTTAAGAAGAAGGATGGTGCAATCCGCTTCTGCGTTGATTACAGGCGCTTAAATAAGATCACTCGCAAAGACGTATACCCTTTGCCCAGGATTGATGACGCCCTTGATTGCTTACAAGGTGCCGAGTTTTTTTCGTCGTTAGATTTGCGTTCGGGGTATTGGCAGGTGCCCTTAGCAGATGGTGATCGTCCAAAAACAGCATTCGTGACACCGGACGGGCTATATGAGTTCAATGTCATGCCCTTCGGCCTCTGCAATGCGCCGGCCACATTCGAGCGCATGATGGACTCGGTTTTGCGGGGTTTGAAATGGAACATATGCCTCTGCTACCTCGATGATATCGTCGTCTTTGCACCCGATTTCGCAACACACCTTGTACGCCTGAAACATGTCCTCACGTGTCTGAAGAATGCGCAGCTCCAACTGAATCTAAAGAAATGCCACTTCGCTGCACGGACGCTCACCATTCTCGGTCACGTCGTATCAAAGGATGGTGTTCTTCCCGACCCGGCTAAACTACGCGCTGTTGCTGAATTCCCCAAACCAACGACTGTAAAACAGTTACGCAGCTTCGTAGGATTGTGCTCCTACTTTCGTCGGTTTGTGCGCAACTTTGCCTCCATAATTGCCCCTTTGACCCAACTTTTAAGCAGTGCCAACGACATCTCATCATGGTCTTCCGAATGTGATCACGCATTTACCACTCTTCGCCGTCTCCTGACATTACCGCCTATATTGCGCCACTATGATCCCACGGCTGCAACTGAAATCCATACAGACGCCAGCGGTGTCGGTCTCGGTGCAGTTCTCGCTCAACGAAAGCCTGGATCCCCTGAGTATGTCGTCGCCTACGCCAGCAGAACGCTCAACAAGGCTGAGGTAAACTACAGTGTTACCGAAAAAGAGTGCTTAGCCATACTTTGGGCAATTGTGAAATTTCGCCCATACTTATATGGCCGCACCTTTGCCGTAGTTACAGACCATCATGCCTTATGTTGGTTGTCGTCGCTGAAGGATCCATCAGGTCGCCTTGCTCGTTGGGCTCTGCGACTTCAAGAGTATGACATCCGCGTCGTGTACCGTTCCGGCCGCCAACATGCTGATGCTGATGCGCTCTCGCGATCACCACTGTCGACTGAGGCTGCCTCTATATCTTCTATGGAACACGCGCTGTCCGCTCTTGACATCGACACAATGACCTCTGCACAGCGCGACGATCCATGGATAACTTCGCTTCTGGACGTCTTATCTGGGGTACCGACACTTCCCATCACTCGAGCAATGCGACGCCAGGCTTCGCACTTCACCATTCAAGGTGGCCTCTTGTACCGGCGCAATTACTCACCAGACGGCAGGAAGTGGCTGCTCGTTATTCCCCGAAAGCTGCGCTCTACAATCTGTGCATCATTTCACTCCAACCCGCAATGCGCTCACGCCGGTCTCTTCAAGACCTACAAGCGTCTAAGGAAGCGGTACTACTGGCGTGGGATGTTTACTTTTGTTCGACAGTTTATTCGCGGCTGCCACGAGTGTCAGCGACGAAAACAGCCATCGAATGCAGGAGCAGCTCCACTACAGCCGCTTGCGTGCCCTGACCGCCCATTCGATCGCGTCGGAATCGACCTTTATGGACCACTGCCATTGACCACAGCAGGTAACCGGTGGGCTATCGTTGCTGTAGATCACCTGACACGGTACGCCGAAACCGCTGCTCTTCCTACGGCGACCGCTCAGGACGTCGCATCTTTCATCCTCCATCGGTTTGTGTTGCGTCACGGCCCTCCTCGCGAGCTCCTCAGTGACCGGAGCCGTGTATTTCTATCCGACGTAATCCAAGCACTTCTCCGTCAGTGCCATATTGTACACCAGATGAGTACTGCTTACCACCCTCAGACGAATGGCCTGACTGAGCGGTTTAATCGGACCCTGGGTGACATGCTCGCGACGCATGTGGCATCTGACCAAACGAACTGGGACCTGGTTCTTCCATTTGCGACCTACGCGTACAACACCGCTACCCAAGTCACCACCGGCTTTTCTCCATTCTACCTTCTATACGGACGTCAACCATCGCACACAATTGACACTTTGCTGCCATACGCACCAGATGTATCTGAGTGCACGACCGTGTCTGAAGCCGCCCGTCACGCCGAAGAATGCCGCCAACTAGCGAAGCAGTTTACTACGGCTGACCAGCAACGCCAGAAAAAGGCCCGCGATGACGACCACCCTCCTGCCGCCAAGTTCGCCCCTGGAACCCTTGTATGGCTGTATGTACCACCCTGTGCACCTGGTTTGTCTACCAAGCTACTTTCAAATTACCATGGCCCATACCGCGTGCTAGAGCGCACATCGCCCGTCAATTACGCCATCGAACCGCTTACGCCACCCGGTGACCATCGTCGGCGTGGACACGACATTGTTCACGTGGACCGCTTGAAGCCGTACTTCGACCCGCTCGTTCCTACTGTTAGATCGCCAGGACGGCTTCATCTTTCTCGACGGGGGCAATTATAATGAAGGAATGATGATAACAAAAGGAAACAGCAAGCATCATCGCAGAATAAGGCACCACGAGATCGGCGCTCGAGCTCCTCCATCTTCCTCGTCCTGTCGCTATCTCCAATCTCCGACCTGCCCGTTTGGTTCGCCCAATAAACCTCTTTACACTTGTTTCAATCATACCTAGCCGCATGGAAGTTCGGCATAAAGATTTCAGATGGAAAACTTGCAATTCGCCGTTCGTTGCAATGCGACGCTCGCACAGCAAATGGATGCAATTTTTTTTAAACAATTCAGACTTGGCAACTTCTCATTCAAAAAAAAATTACGAACTACGTATGTTGACGAATAGCATACGAACTTATCTTGCGCAAGACAACTTACATATTTGTGCTGAACGAAACTTCCATACTAAGGAAACGGTACCAAATTCCATTTCAGAGGAATATGCTAATCTTTCTTTTTTATTTTACACCAAAACCACAAGTACATCAGCTTTCAGGACCACCACTTTCATAAAAATAAGGGTAAAAAAAAAAGACGTGACGCCTTCACAAAGTTACATATCATAAACGTATTGAATGACATGACGATAGTTATATATAGCGTGACAGTAGAACGACGACAAAGGGACACGAAGGAGACGAGTGTCTCTTTGTCGTCGTTCTGCTCTCGCGCTATTATAACTGTCATCATGTCATACCAACTAGCCCAAACCGCCACTTTAATTGAATGACCTTTCAATTTTACGAATATAAAGCGTTTCGTTCATATTCTTAGCTGCGAAATCAACACAATCAAACTTATTTCCACTGCCATGTGTATTTCTGTCCCTGTAAATATAAATACGTCGTTTAACAGGGCACATACCTGGAGCCAAGGTTTCAACAAGTGAGCCCACTTGTTGATCAAGACAATGACGATTGTTGTGTATACATTTGCCGCCTTGAAGTCGGCAAGCACGCTTGTTGAAACACTGGCTACAGCATTATTCTCTGTTGAATGACCTCGCCTCACTTAAAGCATTTATGTTTGCTGAATCTCTCGCCTCTCTTGTTTTCTCACAGCAGGGAGTAATTGACTTGCCCAAGAAGTGGAGTTAAACTTTTCTTCAGAATTGGATCGTACTGTTTCGTAGTACTGCATAGTTTTCCAACTGCCACCCTGTATGCGGCAAAGCAGCGTAGCAAGGTTTCTACGTCGCATTGTCGAACGATTCTCGACTTTAACTGCATCTGTGACACGACCATGTAGATTGCAGAAACGATGCCGGACTTAAAGTGACTGTGTTGTTCTGAATTGTTGCTGATTATTCTCTCATACGAAGTGACTTTTTTTTGCTCAAGCGAGTCATAGCCATATAATTTTTCAGGCGAAGTGAAGTGGTCTTGTTCCCCAGTGCTTGTTAATTACGCCTGGTTGTGTGGCCTTGCGAGTATCATGAAGCTATTACAAAAAGTACACACCAGCACACACACTAACACCCCCCCCCTCACACACACCTGCACGCATGCATGCGTTCAGATGCATAGTTAGGTAATATAGCTACTTCCAGAGGGATACTTATCAAACTTTTTAAGAGTAACGTTCGGTTAGACTTCTTACAACATGAAAAAGCAATCAATTATTTTGCTTTATATAACCTAGTTCAGTCGCGGTTGCTTCGTGAGAAACTAATCCACTTTGCCGGCTATTTCTTGATACTATACTTCTTATTTTGGAACTGTTTCTGATTGAAGATGGGGAGATTATACAGGGTTTCTATGCGCACAGCTCTATATATTGTTTTCTAACGTTAAGAATTGAAGTAGATTTCATCATCTGGTGCGCTGTCGAGGGCACTTTGTTAGCAGATATCGTACATAGCTCTCTAACCTCATCAAAGCGTGCCAACTAGAACAATCAGAGTTTGTAAATCAGCACTCGTGCCGTATACTGTGCCTTCGTCTTCTGTGTTTTTTTTTTACCAATCTGTTGTTCCCCGGTAAGACAATTCCCGGTAGTCATCGTCCTTTCGAGAAAATCAAATTCGCTTACCGAAAGCTACCCAATGCTCTGGGCAATGTCCACCCTGCACCAAATTTACTTGAGCAGAGTTTACCCGCACGTCATCTGTGTGGAATAGTCGACTCGCCTTGAAGCTCAAGCAAGGCGCCCCTGAAAAGATAAAAAAGCATCCAAAACGTCAACAAACTGCCTTGTCATGCAACTTTCTTTGCTGCTCTGGAGACAGTACATCTAATTCGCAAGACAAGGATGAAATGGTCAGGTGACTACGCTCAGCGGAAGCAGTCTATGTGGACGCCAATACTGTCTTTATTGCGATTGAAAATGCAATCATGTATGTATTTTAAAAAGCATGCGCTCGTTATATAGCGAGAACATGGATATTTTTGTGACGTGCAGGAATTAGATTTCGCAATAGTGAGTTCACTATATTACAAGCGCTTCTATATAAACCTATCGATGCCGAAAAAAAAAACAGAGCATTCCAAATATGAACTCTACAGCCTCGTGATCAGCGGACATAATTACCTAACCTAACAACCCCTCATAGCAGTCATGAGATAAAATCACCCAAGCCGTAACCCAAAGAAGGGCAGAAAATGTTACGTCACGTGAAACGTATTCTAAAGCGACTTAACGTGCACTCATAAATAAGCTGTTATTAGCAATCCGTCAACTTGACAGGAAAAAAATCTCTATTATTGTTCGTATCTTCTCACTTAAATGTGTGGGTCTTCCCTCATCGGGCTAAGAAAGTAACGCTACCCAATAACCGTAAACAATGTTCTTTGATTCATCCTTCCATATGATAATACATCCGCTTAAAAATGGTAACGATGGCGCTTCCTGCTCTGGTCTTTTTGTTAACGAAATGTGAAGGTGAGGTATTGTTCAAGAGGACGCGGATTAAATTACCAGCCACTGAGGTCACATTTTATTGGTGTTGAAACAAAATTTCGCGAAAAGTAAATTTCAGTACCGCAAAACGGATTCAATTTTTCTGGAAGCCTGAGACTGTAACTCGTGGAAGGGGCTGTCAGAAAATTTATTCTGCTTAAACAAGGTTACGGGAAAACTTCCCTCGTAGAAAAATAACAGGCTGTCTACTTCAAATATGTTTCACTAACTCTGGCTTTTTTCGTGTGTTTTATACGTTGCCTTAAATATTTACAATAAGGTATTTTGATATGGCAATAGTTGATCCACCTACAGTCGTCAACTAGGTAACGAAAACATTCCACAGCGCGGCTTAGATTGATTTGACTGATGATGTGCGCGAAGCGCTGGGCGCTGTTCCCGTGACAATAGTGGTATGCTTCAGTAGCATATCTGCATGCATTGTTAACGTATGCAACACAGAAGCCGAGGCTACGTGGCTCTGGTGTAAATCCAAGTGCTTCTTGTAACGCCGCGGAGTGTTTGAGTTGAGCCTGCGGACGGCTGTATGCAACTGAGCTAAAAAAGTGTTGTCTTTTTTTTTCACCAGCCAGGCATCAAAAGTAAGCTTGTCATACTGCCTATCATATACGGGAAAACCAATGCGTTTTACTGCACTATTTCCTGACAGTACAGCATATGTTCTCATCAAATGTCATGAAAGATGAACAGCTGCAAGGTATGTTTGGGAATCAGTAACGCTGTTGCACATGTCATCATTCCTTTTAAGGATGAAAACGGCTGCTCACTAGCGGGCCCACTAGTGTTCATGTCTTAACCTTGTCGCTGGACTGTAATTCTCTAAGTATGCTTCCACAGTTGGGAACAGAAATGAGAACCCATTGGCCTGATGTCAGATGCAAATTCTTCTTCTTATTTCGTTTCTGTTCATTAAAAACGTGTAGGCACTGAGGCAATAGTGAGGGAACAGGGTGACAACTTCACATATAGGTTACCTATATGCAGAGGTTCCTCATTTTTAGGCATTTCATCTCAATATTTAAATGACTCCCCACCCATTTCGGTAGTTTTGGTTCACACGATTCTGTCACTCTGTTGCAATAGTGTGCGAACTTCAGACAAAATGCCACCTTGCTCCAGTCATGCAATTTCAATACGGGCGCAATGATTACGAAAACGCAAAAAAATACCGAGGGAGGTGTTGAAGTGGGTAATGATGATACTTTGCCTCTTTAGGCATCAAATTTGTCCCACCTTAGATTTCAAAATCACAATTTCGGAATCATTTTTATTTCAACATCAGACTCAGAAAGAATACAGTGTTGAGGGCCATGAGCTAAAAACCACAAAACGGCTTCATGAGGCCCATGGTCCCTTGAACTTGGCGCTAACAGAAAACAACAAGAACACGGAGCAGCAAGAACATATTACACATCATCCTTCGACCAGAACTTATTTGTACATTCATAAATATACATGTTACCTAAGCAACGCTCCTTAACTTGCGGTGCAACGTTGTTCAAAAATGTGTTGTCATAATACGCATAGAAATAACGGCAAACATGCAAATATATACATATACAGCCACATACTTATGTAAGTTCACATGCGCAGAGCCGATAACAACCCCCAACCCTTCCCCTTAAACAAAATGTTTGCAAGTTAGTTTTTTTTAACCTCGAAGATAGGCTGTATACAGGCTAATTTGTATGGCAATGTATGGCAACTTGTATGGCAACTGGTATGGCAATAAATAGCATAACTATTGTTTGTCATAGTTAGTTCGCGTGCTTTGGAAGTTCCCATTTTCAGTGAGATGAGTCATGCGTAGCTTTTCATTTCCTGTTAGGCAAGAGAGGTTGTGTAAAATGTTGTTCTTTTTCGCGACGCCAGTAGACAGCGTCTCTTCCTATGATGCAAGCGGAATTAAGTTAAGCTCAATAAAAAATGGTTCAGTGTGACTGCTTTGTGGTGCGCTAATGACGGCACGAATCACTTTCTTTCGGGGTTACGTGAATATTTCTGATGTTAGTCAGTGTCGTCATACCCCAGACTAAATAGCAGTAATTCATATGCGATTCAAATGGGCTGTAATAAATAACAAGTTTAATATGTTTAGGCAAATAGTATTTGCATTTGTTGAGGATACCATACAACCACGAAATCTTACCAGGGATTAGTTCAGTGTGCTTACTGCAAGACATGTGTTCTTCAAACAGAACGCCGAGACTCTTTACACAAGGCACAACTTCTACAGATGACCTTTGATAGTACAAGCCCATCTGAGCTTCTATTTTATGGTTTTTGGGTCTAAAGAAGAGAGCCTTTCTTTTAACAGCATTTATTTTAAGAGGATTGTCTGAGCTCCATCATGATAGCATGGATAACGTGCGATTGGCGTCAATTATTGCATCAGTAGCATTTCGCGCGGTGAAATGTAGAGAAGTGTCATCTGCATATATTATGAATCGCGCGCCGTTATCAATCCTGACTATGTCGTTCATATATAGGGAGAACTACAGGGGCCCTAGAATGCTGTCCTGTGGAACATCGGCACATAATGCTTTGAAATTTGAGGCGCGATGGTTTATGCATACCTGTTGTTGGTGCTGTTTCAGGTAAGAAGTGAGTAGTTCAAGAGACACCCCACGAACACCATAATGCCTCAGCTTCTTCAGCAGGGTTGACTGAATAATTTTATCGAAAACCTTTCAATAATCTACAAATAGGCCTAATGTACAAACTTCGTGCTCGAAATATTGCAATTATTATCCTTTTGTGACAACAGAGCGTCCTGTGTAGAAAGTCCTTTTCTGAACTCAAACTGTCGGTCTGTTATGATTTGATGCTTTTCTATAAAAGTAGTCATTCTGGTACATGTTAATTTTTCCATGCCTTTGGAAAATACTGTAAGCAGGAATATTTGTCTATAATTTGAGCGCTCATTGGCATCACCACCTTTGTGTAAAACAAACATCTTTGCCTTTTGTAATTCCTGTGGGAAATATCTGTGTGAGAAAACAAGGTTAAAAACATGTTCTAATATTGGCACGATTATGTCCGAAACTTCTTTCACCAGTCGAATCTGCAAGCCATTGGCGTCAGAAGACTTACTGTTTTTTACTGAAATAAACACAGAAATGATTTAGTTTGTGCTTGTTGGAGCCAAAAAAGCACTATCTTTAAGTGGGGCACATAGGTACTGTAGACACTGTGGGCTATGTCTGTTAGCACTTGAGAGAGATTGACTTGATTGGTAAGTGGCGTTTAACGTCTCAAAACCACCATGTGATTATGAGAGACGTCGTAGTCGAGGGCTCCGGAAATTTCGACCACCTGGGGTTCTTTAACGTGCACCCAAGTCTGAGCACACGGGCCTACAACATTTCCGCCTCCATCGAAAATGCAGCTGCCGCAGCCGGGGTTTCATCCCACGACCTGCGGGTCAGCATCCGAGTACCTTAGCCCCTAGACCACCGCGATGGGGCAATTTGAGAGAGAGATAAAATTATTATTAAATGTGTTTGCCAACGACAATTCAGAAATCGTTTGATCATTTGAAATGACCTCTGAAGGATTGGTATTTGCATTGTCTTTGCGGCCAAGAAATTTGTAGTAAAATAGTTATTCCCTGCGCTGACTTTATTGCATTTTATGAAGTTATGCAACCTTGTGCTGTTCTTTGGGTGCATGTTAAAGAACCCCAGGTGGTCAAAATTTCCGGAGCCCTCCACTACGGCGTCTCTCATAATCAAATGGTGGTTTTGGGACGTTAAACCCCACAAATCAATCATCAACCTTGTGCTGTTCGAATATTTCGAATCGCGAAAGCGCCTTGCGAGTCTAATACCACACTATTCAAGTTTAGACTAAGTTTTAAGCATGTGTACATGACCCGTTGTGTAAAGCTGGCGTTCTATTGCGTAGACAGGAGCTCAACAGTTAGAACACGTGCCTGCAAAGTAAAAGCAATTTTGTGCGTTGTTCATTGCAAAATGAGCAAAACAGGGATTCTGCTTTTATCGGGTCTAACTAAGCTAAAAAAAGTGTTGACGCTTTCTTCTTCCGTAATATAATCTTTCCCATTGTTTCTGGATCATCCCATGTCTGCATTAGTTCCTTGTTTGACGGCTCGAAGACCTCAACTTGCTCGTATTGTCGTGCGATGGTGAACTGGCATTTGCATTGTCTCCCAGTAAAAGTTTGAACATTATCATGATAGTCGCTTAGCTTTGCGCGAAGCCTCAGCCGAC